ATGTTACTAGCATGTATTTTTTATTCCTTTTTTGTTGCTACATTGTTACTGAATATGGTACATTGTATTTGTTGATGGGTTTTAGTTTAGTTCCAACACATACCTGCTTTTTCTCTTTGTGTACTAGATAGCGACCACGGGGCTTTGCACATGTTAGACAAGTGCTCTACTACTAGCTGCAACACTAGACCTGCTTTCAAAAATTCAACTGTCTCATAGGCAGCATCTCAGGTGGTTTTCATGTGCATTCTCTGATGTGTTTATGGGTCATTGTCTCTCTTCTTTGGAGAAATGACTAACATATCTGCCATGCTTTAATAGTGCCGCTTGTCTTTTTATTAATGTTAGCTGTAAAGATCCATTGTCTTTTCTATTAGATTTATACAAACCTCCCAATCTAGGGAGTGGGATGTAATTCCCACTTTTATTGCTTTTCAGAAGTACCTTTGTCATGAATACCATGAAGCATGAATGCTTCCTTGGTGGAGGTCCTTAAAGGGCCCCCCCACAACACAGAGCAGTTGTCTTCTACCTGTTACTACTGGAGAGGGCAGCTTTGTGTCCTTATACAGTCTAAAAAGCCAAATTGAAGCTGGAAATGATTTTGTCTTTCAACTTCCTTTCCTCAAGTAAAATTTAAACACTCTAGTTACAATGCTTGGGAAACAGTTGATATGCCAAGGAACAAGCATATTGTGGCTGTTTGTGTTTACAGTTTTTATTCATTCAATTCATAGATTGTAGTATTGTTTTAATTTTTGGCTTGCTTACAGTTGTGTGACTCCTGCTGTGATCTGTGCCTTTCTGAACTGATTGATTTATTGTCAGTGTAGACTTAGGCTAGGTTTGTCATCTGAGAGTCTATGCCAACATTATGTTTTTATTCTAAGTTGATACTTTTGTTTTAAAATCAATTTCTGTTAAGGGCCATTTCTTTTAAAATGTAAAATTGTTTAAAACTAGACCAATAGAATATACAATTTATAAAGCCCAATTATAAGCAAATAAAATGATACCTTTTTGGATATAGTTATTTCACCCTGGCTCCTTTTAGGATACTTTCCCTTTCGTGCACTACAGCCTGATGCTCTATCCATGTGCATTTGGTTTTGTTTTTGCACTTAGAGTTTGTTGACTTCTTTTTTAATGCTTTTTTTGGTTTTGTTTTGTTTTGCTTTTTGAGACAGGTTTTCTCTGTGGAGCTCTGGCTATCTGATAACTCACTCTGTAGACCAGGCTGGCCGTGAACTCACAGAGATCCACAGCCTCTGCCTCCTGAGGACTAGGCTGTTGACTTCTTGAATGTGGTTTTCTTATCTTTATTGTAAATTCTTAGCTATTGTTTCTTTAAATGTTGATTTTGTTCATTGCTTTTATCTCTTTGGATCTTGAATAAACAGGATGTTGTAATTTTCTAAACCTGCTGTTTTTCTCTGTCGTTGTGTCTTATATTTACTAATTGTTGCTCCCTCATTTTTTCCCCTCTTTTCTTTTTTTGTTTATTCATTCTCATCTCCCTTCCCTTTTTTTCCTCTCCTCCCCTTTTTCCACAGAATCGCAGTATATAACCCACATTTAGGATCCTCCTAATTTAGCCACCACAGTACTTAGGTTACAGGCATACATCTCTACACTGAACTCCTGATTGTTCTTTCTAACTTACTAATTTTTTTTACTTTTATTTATTTACTGAGTGTGTGTGTGTGTGTGTGTGTGTGTGTGTGTGTGTGTGTGTGTATGTGTGTGTATCAGAAGACAGTATGAGAGAGTTGGTTCTCTCCTACCATGTGGGTCTTTGTGAAGGGGTCCCAGCAAACACCACAGCCAGCAGTGTTGACTGCACGAGGCAAGAAGGAAGTCTGATTCCACATTACTGGGTAGCTGGTGTTGGTTTAAACTTCTGGAGTCTGAAGTTTATTTTAGGCATATTTAAATATTTAATTACAGTACAATTTGGAAAAACGTTTCTTGCTGTAGCATCCTATATGCACAATAAAGCTTGAGGCATAATTACACTGAAACTCTTTTCAAAGTATATGCCCCTCTTCCATACTACATGTGCATCTTGTGGGCCTAGGGGAGGATCTGCTGTGGTCTTGGCATGCACATAAGATAGTGCAGAGGTTGTCAGGCTGTATACCATCTCCATTCCTGTTTGTAAGATTCTGGGGAAGCCAGATGTAGCTTTCATCATTATACACCATCTTTAATCCTGTTTGTAAAAGTCTGGGGGAGCCAGATGTGGCCAGATAATAGATAATGCAGAGTTTACCCATTCCCAGCCTTCTTCATGGAAAACAGGTTGTACACGTTTCCTCTGAAGAGGCAGCTCTGTGTTTAACATTCCTGGTTTCCCCAATGCCCATCTATCTGTGAGTGCAAGAACCTCTCATGCTTCTACAGGTTCTAGGGATTGAACTTAGGTGGCAAATGCTTTTACCTGCCAAGCCATCCTATGCCTCTCTTCTGACTTATTTTAGTTCACAAAATCTGTATTAAATCTCTTCAAATCTATAAAAACTAATAGATAGATTGGTACTTTTGAGTTTTATTACTGTATTTCAGCTTTTTGTGATTTTTCTGTTTTTCAAAATTATTATTTCTGATCACTTCTTACGCCCTGATATTTTAAATTGTGTCTCAAATTTAAATGCTTGCTATAGTCAATTTACATTTTATAACTTAATTTTAGATTATATTCCAGATCCAAAAACGGTGAGCTTGCATTCTCTTGTGGTTCTTGCTATTCATCCTGATTTCTGATTATGGTTCTGTTTGTTGTGATTTATTTCCTAGCATCTAGGGACATGATTGGTTGTTGGAGACTGCTTTTCTATAGTAAGCATGCTCATCTGCCTGTGTTAGAAACAGCCTATTGGCGCCACTTTGAAGTTCTTACTAAATGATTTTCTTAGTGTTTAGCTCTGCAGTTTTCATCTGGGATGGGACTTATTTCTGTTCCCAATATGCAATGGGTGTTTTGTTTATCATCATAACTTTCTTGTCACTTGGTCTTAGAACTTTTCCTCAGGCTTAAACTGATACTGTTCCTGTCCATGAGTTCAGCAGCTATTAACCCCACCCCCCAACAAGATGTAGTTATTATGGAAAAGCAGCTGTATCAGAACAGAACTTTTCCCAGAAGTTACTGGTTCTATTACTAAGAAAATGATTTTTTACTAAAAATACAAGGTTTCTTAAAACCTTGCAGTGGCATTGTCACACTTCTTTTCTCCACACACCCAAACTTCAGTTCCTCTAGATTCTCATCTATTCAATGTGTGCTCAGGTTTCACTTATTTGAAATTACATACTTTATAAGTTTGGAGAATTTCCAAATGAGGTGTATTGTAGCATCTCTAGAGCGGCAGAACTGACGGCATAAACGTGGATACAGCTGAAAGCAGATACAATAAGGCCATTGGCTTCATTTGGAAGCTGAGAAGTTCCACAGTGGTTTTTGCAGTGTAGAAAACAGGGAAGCTGGATGTTGCTCAGACTGAAGCTGTAGGCTCTTGACAGGGAGGCAAGGGAAAGGCAGGTGTACTACTGTGGGTCCAGAGGATAAGGAATGTGCTCAAAGGCAGAGAAGGAAGACACCCAGACCTAGGCTAAACTTTCTCCATCATTTCTGTTTTACATGGATGACCAGCTTATTGGCTGGTGCCCACCTATGTTGATGACAGTTTATTTTTTTCCACTCAGCTTACCAAAAGTACTGTCCTTCGAAACACTCTTACAGACATACCCTAGACAGTTGAGTTGATGTAGAAATGCCAAGCCACCTGGAGAGGAATGAACTCAATGCCTACCTAAGCGCTGAGAATAATTAGTGCTTTACCAGCTACCCGGCCATACCCGAATCTAATAAATTGACAACCAGATATAACATCACAGGGATTCTACATGAGACTAATTGATAAGAGTTTGAAGTCTGTTTTTAAATTGTTGATCAGCTTTCCTGTACCATGACAAAGTACTTCAGATAATCAACCTCTAGGAGGACAGGGTTATTTAGATTATGGTTTCAGAGTTGGAATTTATGCCTTTGGGCCTGTGGCCACAGAGTATATTAGTTGAGAGTATGTGGTGGAGGAAGGGCCTGTTCATTCTTGGCAGGAGATAAGCAAAAAGTTGTTAGGGAGAGGCCACACCCCTAATGGCCCTTTTTTCTCCCACTAGATTCTGCTTATCAGTAATGTCGTAGACTAGGGTACTTTGGGGAATATTTATCCAAATTATGTCATTAGCCTGAAGCTCTTTAATCTCACTTTCTGACTTTCTTATGCACTTGTTACTGGCTTAGAACAGTGTTCCATGGTGTGTCACAGTTTAAGTGTGGAAAATATTGGTTTGTTGGTTTGACTACTAGGAGTAAAGCTGTTTAAACATAGGGGTACAGGTTTCTTAGGAAAATAAGCTGCTTTCTCCTGGGATAAATGCTTACAAGTTCACTGTCTGGGTCCTGTGTTGCATGTTTAGTTTAAGAATGTCAAATTGTTTTTGAAATATTGTTCTGTTGTATATTCCCCAACAATATATGAAACTTCATCTTGCCAACATCTGGTGCCATCACAAACTTTTCTGTTTATCTGTCTGTCAGGGCATAGGAGAATCCCAGGGATTTTTTTTTTTTTTTTTTAGATTATTTGAAATACAACTTTATTCTGATTCTAAACAAAAAGAATGGGAATGACAGTAACAAACAAGATTTCACCACTGACTGAATAGTGTGATGTGACTGTAGCAGTCTTATCTTTGAAATTCAGGAAGGAAACAACTGTGTTCCAAACAGCTAAATATGCAAGTCCAAAAAAAAAAAAAAAAAAAAAATGAAGGTATGTTTTAACTGCCACATTCACTCCGAAGCCCATTCATCTCCTTCAGCATCCAATGAAGTACACGATCTGCTTAGCTAAATAAGGTGGCACACACGCTGCACCGCTGACGTCACAGGACGTCTATAAAACTAGACTTCTGACGCGGGGCTCCAGCTTCACTTTCTCACAGGTCATCATCCTCATCCGGGAGGGCAGTCGTTTGAGCAACCTCTAAATCATGCTCGTACTGTGCTGCCAAAGCAGGGTCCATGACCACCTCAGGCGGGGCAAGAGCAGGCATGGCAACAAACTCCAAGTTAGGGTCTCCAATGAGCTTTCTGGCAAGCCAGAGGAAAGGCTTTTCAGAGTTGTAGTTACTTTTGGCAGAAATGTCATAGTACTGAAGATTCTTCTTTCGGTGGAAGACAATAGATTTTGCCTTCACTTTTCTGTCCTTAATATCCAATTTGTTGCCACACAATACAATGGGGATGTTTTCACACACCCGTACCAGATCTCTATGCCAGTTAGGTACATTCTTGTAAGTGACTCTTGATGTTACATCAAACATTATAATGGCACACTGGGCTTGGATGTAGTAGCCATCGCGCAGGCCCCCGAACTTCTTCTGGCCGGCTGTGTCCCACACGTTGAACTTAATGGGTCCTCTGTTGGTATGGAAGACGAGCGGGTGCACCTCCACGCCCAGGGTGGCTACATACTTCTTCTCGAACTCGCCCGTCAAGTGGCGCTTCACAAACGTCGTCTTCCCGGTGCCACCGTCGCCCACCAGGACGAGCTTGAACTGGACCTGCGGCTCTCCCTGGGCGGCCATCGTGGCAATCCTTCCAGAAGACTCTCCGCGCCTGTCCGACTGCGAATCCCAGGGATTTTAATATGAATTGTTCTATAAACCTGTATGAGTATGGGAAGAACTAACTTTTCCCACTACTAATACATGAATAATATATGCTTCTTCATTTATTTATATAATTGGATTCATTTTGAACTTAAAAGAAGTGGTGTGTGTGTGTATGTGTGTGTGTGAGAGAGAGAGAGTATGTGTGTGTGTGTGTGCATGTGTGCACCTTCACAGGTGTGACAGAGAGGAGTTCGGGAGGGATATGCACACAGGTTTGGAGGTCAGAGAACAACCTTGGGTATTGAGGTTGTTTGAGGCAGTCCCCTTTTCTTCCTGCTGCATATGCAGAGCTTCTGGGGATTCTCCTGTCTCTGCCTTCCTTCTGTTTTGTTTAGGAGTGCTAGGATTATAGATTTATACCTTACCCAGCCTTTATGTAAATTCAAGGGTGCTGAACTCAGATATGCCTGCTTACATGGTAAACACTGTGTCCACTAAGCCATCTCTCAGCTCCAATGATTTCTTTTTATCGGTGTTGTAAAATTTCTTTTTTCTCTTTTTTCTTTTTTTGGTTTTTTGAGACAGGGTTTCTCTGTGTAGCTTTGTAAACCAGGCTGACCTGGAATTCACAGAGATTTGCCTGTCTCTGCCTCCTGAGTGCTGGGATTCAAAGTGTGTACCACCATCACTGGCTTTGTGTAATTTCTTTATGTAAGTTTTGTTTATGTACTTTTGGATCATACAAATCCAGCTTGATTTGACTACAGCCGCCTTGCTAACTGCCCTTTTCTCCACCTTGTGGTCTTTCTTGTGCCCCACTGGATGGAACAAAGTTAACAGTCTGAGGTGCTTGGGAGATGGCTCACTTGGTGTACATGTAGGGTTTATGTGTGTACATGTGTTTGTTTGTGTGCATGTGTATGCATGTGTGTAACTGTTCTAATCTATAGTTACTTGCCATATCCTTGGGGATGGTCTGGTACTGAACCTCGTGTATGCTGATTTTTAGCTCAGCTGCTGGCCAGCAGGTGCCAGTGATCCTCCTGTCTCTGCCACCCAATACTCCAGTGCTGAGGTTACAGATACAGGGAGACACTCCTGACATTTTATGTGGGTGCTGAGAATCCGAACTCAGGTCTTCCTACTTACACAGCAAGCAAGCACTCGTGTCCACTCAGGAATATCCTTAGTACCTCTTTGTTTTTCCTAACTAACATAGCACATATTCGTATTTCTTTGAGAAAGGTGCATGCCCAGTGTCTATGGCTCACCTTTGTCAGGCCTAGCAGATAAACATCTACCTTTGGGTGCCGGAGTCTGTTTTTTTACTGCCACTTAAAATGTGCTTCTGTCTGTGAGGCTCTAGTATAGCTTGTATAATCCTGGATATGTACATTTTTCAAAGGCTAAAACTAATTTTAAATTTCACTGTTTTTATTGCTAATGTAGATGTATAGTTTTGTATTTTTATTTTTTATTTTATAACCTTGTTGAAATTACCAGTTAGATTCAGAAATTTTTGTAGGTTATTTGAGGTTTCTATATAGACAATCATGATGGCTGCAAATAAGGACTGTTTTGTTGTTGCATTCTGATTATGTGTGTTTACTTCCTTTTCTTACCTTATTTTACTGCCAAGAACTCCTGGCATTATGGTGTTGAATAAGAACTGTGAAAGTGTAATCTTTGTCTTGTTCTCAGTCTTTGGAGGAAAATACTGAGACTTGTGCTTGCAGTTATGTTAATAGTTTTGGATTTTTTTGTTTGTTTTTGTTTTTTGTAGTTCTTTTGTTTGATTTGAAGTTCCCCTCTGGCTGTTTTTCTGAAAGATTTTATTATGAGTACATTTAGTCTTTGTTGTTCTGTTTTGAAGGCAGAATTTTGGTCTGTAGCCCTGTCTGTCCTGGAATTCCCAAGGAGCAGCCTGCCTCTAACTCCTCTTGAGTGCTGGGATTGAAGGTGTGTGCCATCATGCCCAGCTGGGTATAAATTTTATCAAATATTTTTATGATGTTTGTTTATTAATATGATTCACAATGATTGGTTTTTAAATATAGAACCAGTTTTGGATTCTGGAATAAAGTCTACTTGGTTATGGTGTATAATTCATTTTGTATAGTATATCATTATGTCATATTTACCCCCTCCCCCCATATTCTCAGGAACTATGTCCTCTGACCTTTACTTGTGCCTGAAACTATGGTATGGATAGTATTATACCTTGTATATAACTTACTTTCCCCCTAGATACAAACACTGGTGATCTGAGTTTAAATGAACAAATTAGGAACAGTAAGAGATTAACAATAGTGAAACTGCTGTAACAGTATATTGTAATAATTTTTATGTGGCTTACCTCTTTCCCAACATACTGTATCATATTGTACTTACTCCTGTGATGATGATTTGAGGTGGTTCACAGCCTACATGATGAGATGAAGTGAGGTGTGGTGAATGAAGGCAGCTGATCATTTTGATACAGCATTGGAATTCTGTAAGGGTTACCTGAACACAGTGCAATGCTACACACTTAATGTGACAGCTAACATGGTGTTAAGTAAATACCAGGCTGAACAAAGGGATGATTTGTATGATGGGTGACATTTTATCATGCTACTCAAAATGGTGCAGAATAGTTTATTTTGTAACTTTTATCCATTGAATTTGTATGCATTCACATTTGTGTATGCATGTGTATTCTTATTGGCCTCTAAGCAGGAGCCAGAGGAGGACCTAACATCTTCTGTTCTTGTTATTGTCTGCTTTTATATTCCCTTGAAACAGAGTCTCTTACTGAACCTGTAACTGGTCATTTCAGCTTGCCTGGCTACTGAGTGGCTGAGGCCAGTCTGTCTCTACCTCCTAATCATGCTGGGGCTACAGACATGCATGGCTATGCCAAGGGTTTGTGTTTGTGTGTCAGGAATGAGAACTGGGGTTTTAATTTCAAGTCCTCATGCTTGTGCAACCAACATTCTTACCCACTGACCCATCACCCCCAGCCCCCATTTAATGTTTTTAGATGCATTTGACAGTGGGTAAAAACCTGGGAAGTAAAACCCCTGGTATGGAATATTATTTGGCTTTTTTTTTTTTTTTTTTTTTTTTTTTTTTTTTTTGTAAGAGTTTTCACATTTATACTCACAGGGAATATTGGCTGCAGTACTCTTGTTACTACTACCTTGTTCTATTTTTGGAAAGGGCAACAGATGCTATGATTTTCCCCCCCAGACATTAGAAAATTTATCCATTTAAATCTTCTGATTTGATAAGAAAGTATTGTTAATTTTCTGTTAGATAAGACATAGTACTTTGTTTTTCAGAAGCTCATCCAGTTTATCTAAATTAACAAATTTATGTGTTTCCAGTTATTTTTTATTCTTGTGATGTTACCCACTCTGTGTTACTGCTGTTTTGATTTCTAGTATAAGTAGTTTATGTACTCCTTTCTTTTTTACTTTCTGTGTTTTTCTTTCTGTATTTTGTCAGTTATGCTGATTTTGTTTTCAGAGAGAATGAGAGCTTTGTTTAATCCGCCTTTTCTTTTTTCCCTTCAGTTTTATCCATTTTTATTTATTTTTTTTTTTGTTTTTCATTTTATGTATGAGTGTTTTGCCCGTGTGTCTGTGTCCGCATGTGTACAACATCGACAGATGACAGAACAGGGCATTGGATTGCCTGGAACAGTTGTGAAGTGTCTGTATTGTGCTGGGAAGCAAATCTGGGTCCTTTACAAGAACAACAGGTGCCCTTAACCATTGGGCCATATCTCCAGCCCTTATCAGTTTCTTTGCTTTGTTTCTTCCTCCTTGTTTTGTCTCCAACCCTTACTCGAGCAGCTCTTTTAAAATAAAATAAAGTATTTTAAAAGTCATCTTTGTCTTTAGATCCAAAAGAGTCATTTGAGGTATATATAGTTGGACCACTTTTTAAGTTCATTCTGCCAATTTCTGACTTGTTTAGAAAGTTAAATAGTGATATACTGAATTTAGCAGTCACATAAGATTGCAGGGGATATTTCATATTCACACCATAACATTCTGTTACTGTCTCCTTATAGATTCAAGGTCAAATGCATTCAGCTCAACTTTGAAAGCCCCTGTAGTTTACATTTTCAGCTTTGTTCAAAAATTCAGCCTTCTCTGAGACTCAAGTAATCTCTTAACTGTGAGTTCCTGTAGAATTAAAAAGAAATGAACTTTCAGTCTACAGTAGCACAGAATAAATACTCCTGTTCCAAAGGGAAGAATGGAGACCTAGCATGGAAAAGACCAAAAAACTGAACCCTGAGGGTGAATGCCAAGCCCAGCAGCCCTTGTCTGGCACCTGAACCCCTGTGTGGATCCCACTGGGCTTTGGGTAGCTGCACTCTACAGCTCTATCCTTGCAGCACACATGGCCTCCTCTTTGGATGCTTCCTTCCTTCCTTCCTTCCTCCCTCCCTCCCTCCCTCCCTCCCTCCCTCCCTCCCTCCCTCCCTTCCTTCCTTCCTTCCTTCCTTCCTTCCTTTTGCCAGACTGAAACATGAATAGCTTTTGGTCCAGTTCTTGTAGAATCTTTGTTCCCTTATGGCACTTTATGAACATAGTGTTTACTGTCTGTATTTCTGCTGATATTTTAATTTCACAGGCTCCTAACAGAATGGCCAGTTGCTTGCTAGCACCTATTTCTAAATTCTTTTGCATTTCTCTTGCAAACCAATTCCAACAGCCTGTCTGTATCACATGGGTTGTTACAGCAACTAGGACCAAGAACCCGAATGCAGTAACTTAAGGAGGCAGAGTTTATTTTGATTCATGGATTGAGGGGATATATTCTGTCATGGTAGAGAAGGCATGTTAGAGAAGCATGTGGCAGCCGCTCATATGGGACAAGGTTGTAACCAGAAAACAACATGTTCCTTTAACATATGAGTAGTTAAGAGATACATTCATTGGTTATAAGACTCATCTGACTGGCTTAAGCAAAACTGTAATTTACTGGAAGAATGAGGTAGCTTATGGATGAAGGTGTAGGCATTTTTGATTCTGTGTACAATTTCTTCCTAGAGAATTTAATGCCACCTCCTTGCTTAGAACTCAAAGTTATTACAGGTGATCGTTCTGCTTTCTGTGGTATTTGCCAACAGACAAGACAAGAGAAAGTAATTTCCTACAGAAAATACACAAAAGAGAGGATAAAACTCTGCATGCACAACAACAACAATAACAACACAACACACACACAATCCTGGGTGCAATTTAGATAGAATAGATTACTGTTAGCTAAGCTACCTCACAGTTTATACGAATCAGCCAACAGATGTCTGATAAAAAAATGTCCGCCTCTCCTCACCCCCACCCCCAAGACAAGTTTCTCTGTGTAGCTCTGGCTGTCCTGGAACTCACTTTGTAAACCAGGCTGGCCTCTACTTCCCTACAGGGATTAAAGACATAATACCACTACTGCCTGGCACAATGTCAGCTTTTTAGCTAATTACAATAAATTATGTAAAAAGTTGATCTGTTGTTTGTTTTCATCACTCTTTACTCTTTTTCTTTTGGGGGTCTGCCACTCAGCTCCCAAATCATGACACTGAGGCTTATTATTTCTTATAAATGCCCTGTCTATGCTTGGCTTATTTCTAGCCAGCGTTTCTTAAATTACTGCATCTACCTTTAGGGCTTTCCCCTCTTCTAAATCTTTTACTCTTGCTCCGTGGCTGGCTGTGTGGCTGGATGGCTGTCCCCTAGCATCCTCCTCTCCTTGTTCTCATCTCGTTCCTTCTTTATTTCTCCCAGGTTTCTCCTCCTATTTATTCCCTCTGCCTGCCAGCCCCACCTATCCTTTCTCCAGCCTCACTGTTGGCCATCCAGCTCTTCTATTAGACCATCAGGTTGTTTTAGACAGGCAAAGAATCACAGCTTCACAGAGTTAAACAAATGCAGCATACACAAATGTAACACACCTTAAGGTAACACAGTATTGATCAGGTGTAGTGGCACATGATCTTGAATTTGGAAGAAGCTGAAGTAGGAGTTTGAATTTAAGACCAGCCTGTAGATCTAGGTGAACTTGAACTCAGACATTCCTCTACCTTTTAATCCTGAGTCCTAGGATTAAAGGTGTGTACCACTACCTCCTAGCTTCTGGCTGCTGGGATTAAAGTTGTATGCCTGGCTTCTATGGCTTGTGGCTGACTTTGCTTCCTGAATCCTTAGGCATGCTTTAATAAATCATTAATAATATATTACTACAATGTAGTGAGATGCAGTCTCAAAAAACAGATTAAATATATGGGTCATTTTTTAATTTATAATATTAAATGTGGGGGCTGAAGAGATGGCTTAGTAGTTAAGAGCATTGGCTGCTCTTCTAGAGTATCTAGGTTCAATTCCTGGCACCCAAAGGGTGGCTCACACCCTTCTATAGTCCTGGGAGACCAGTGCCCTCTTCTCACCTCTATGGACACTGCATATATGTGGCACACAGACATACATTCAGGTAAACATGTATATAAAATAAATGAATCCTCAAAAAATTGTGTAAACAAGATTAAGTTGGTTCTAAAAAAGAAACCAGTTTGTATATTGGCAGAATTAATATTTTGATACTAATGTAATCTTTATTTTTCTCTTTAGACAATGCGAAGACACAGAAATGAAGTAACAGTTGAACTCCGGAAGGTAAGGGGAGTGAGTGTGCTTCTAAAGAAAAACCAGTTAAGGGACTATTCTAGTTGGGGATGTGATACCTCATTCCTGTGATTTCAACACTTGGGAGGTAGAGGCAAAAAGACTGAGAGGGCAAGGGTCATAGCAAATTGAAGGCTAGGCTAGGCTACATGAGACCCTGTCTCAGAAAACTGGTACTCAGAGCAAGGGGTGATTGTATTTTTTCTATGTTAAAATTGTTTATAACTTGAATTATGAAAATACTGTGGCCAACTAGTTATCCCTAAAACCACCCACCCAACTTGGCAGCCATATGGGGCTACCAAGATGGCTTAGCACATAGAGGCACTTTCTGTATAAGCTTTGCAACTTGTGTTTGAACCTGAGAACCCATGTACGATACAAGGAGAGGACTCATTCCACAAGTTGTCCTCTGATCTTTACACATGCTCCATAGTACTCATGCCCACACACATAACACATACATGTACAAACACACAATAATGATAAATAAAAATCCATATGAGTAAATAGTTCATAATTGTGGTCACAATTGTAAGAACATCCATTTTACCAAGGATACTAGGTATTTTGAGAAATACTTTGCCATATTAAAATTCTATAACATTTAAGGAAGATATTCTTTCTTGATCCTCTTTGGTCTGTGTTGTGTGACAGGTGCCCTCCCTGTTCCCATGTTTTGCAATAGGAGAAATATTATTTATTACTAACTGATTGCAACTGGTGTCAAGATTATTTTCTTTCATTTTGTTTGGAAGATTTTAGAGAGTCACTTTGGTGGCTTGAATAAAAATGAGCCCCATAGGCTCATATTTTAATGCTTAGGGTGTAGCTTTAGGAGATGTAGCCTAACTTGGAGGAAATGTGTCACTGGAAGTGGCTTTGGGCTTTCAAATGCCCAAGCCAGGCCCAGTGATTCTCCCTGCTGCCTGCCAATCCAGATGTGAAACTCAGCTACCTTGGAACAAAATAAAAATGTAAACACACCCAAAAACCTCTAGGACACATTGAAAACAGTCCTATAAAGACAGTTTATAGCTCTAAGTTTCTACATTTAAAAATCAGAAAAAGCACAAATTAAACCATGTGGCAGCACATACTTTAATCCCAGAGCTTGGGAAGCAGAGACAGGTGTGTCTCAGTGAGTTGAAGGCCAGCCTGGTCTTCAAAGTGAGTTTCAGGACAGCCAGGTCTGTTACACAGAGAGTCCTGTCTCAGAAAAAAAGGGAGAGAGAGGGGGGGGGGGGGAGAGAAGCAAGCAGCACAAATAAATGACTTAATGATTTGTGGAAAACAAGCACAAACTGTGTCTAAATCTAGTCAGAAAATCAGTTGAAATTAATATATGTAATAGAAACAAAACAACAAATCTAAGAGCTATTCTTTGAGAAGATAACAAAATTGACAGATCTTTAGCTCAGTTAACCAAAAGAAATAGAGGGTCCTGATTAACAGAATCAGTAAGGAACAAGGAAGTACAGCAGACACCAAAGAAATTCAGAATATTATAGTGGGATACTTAAACCTGTATTTTATTAAGCTTGAAAACCTAAAAGACATGGTTAAGTTTAAAGTTCTAGATTCAGCCATGCCAAAAATAAAACCAAGAAGTTAGCAACCTAAACAGATCCATAACAAATGAGCAAATGAGGTAGTAATAATAAAAAGCCTTCCAGTTTAAAAAAAAAAAAGTTCAGGGCTAGATGGATTCACAGCAGACTTGCAAAGAATATCTCCAGCCAATCTTTCTTAAGCTATTCAAAATTCTCCCAGAACCCTCAGAAGCCAGTAGGCAGTATCACTAATACCCAAATCATGTAAAGGCACAAGAAAAAAGCAAACTAAAACAAAACTACAGGCCAATATCTTTGATCATCATAGACTAAAAAGTACTGAACTAAGCTTTCCCATTGCATTCCGTGGGGACTCTTCAGATGTTCATACTCAGCCCTCAATTATTCCACCCCTTTGTGTCAACCTCAGGTACCCAGAGTCATTCTTTATCTGGGAATCCTCTGGCCACTGGCCTAGGAACCAGGTAGGCATTCTTCATTCTCCTTCCTATCTCCACTTTCCAACTCCCTAGCCTTATGCTCAGACTTGTAACAGACCACTTGCATGGTCCTATGCTCTCCTGCTTCCATTCTCTAGGTACTTGGTAGAATTTAGCAGCAGACTCACCCTTTCTCCCTCACTCTGTACCTTTATGTCAGCCAGGACCTCTAGTGGCCACACCTGTCAGGGACTTCTATATTTCTTACCTGGCAATCTATAGGCACCACATGGTCCTAAGAGCTAAAGAGAGAACAAATAATGGAACACCTCCCCAACAAAGAACAGTTATAAACACCTGGACTCGCAGTCATCCAAAACTCAGATGCCTAGACACCAGTGCAGAAATTCAAACATTAGTGGCCAAAATAATATGCCTTCAGCAGAAGCCAGTAACTCTGTTACAGTCGACCCTGAGAAGTGCAATTAGGAATATGTTCAAGAACATTAAAGAGGATATGAGTAAATTATTCAGTGAACTCTGAAAGCACAAACAGTGGAATAAAATAATGAAAACAATTCAGGATATGAAAGTGGAAATAGAAACAATAAAGAAAACTGAGGTAAAACTGGAAATGAAAAGTTTAGCAAGTTAAACAAAAAGCTCAGAAACAAGTCCCACCAATAGAGTACAAGACATGGAAGAGAGACTCTCAGGAATTGAAAGTAGAAGAAATGGCTACCTAAGTTGAAAAAAATGTTCGCTCTACAAACATTGAGGAAATCTAGGACCTCATAAACAAACCAAACCTACAAAGAATAGGAATAGAGGAAGGAGAAGAAACCCAGGTCAGGGTTGCAACAAAACCATATAGAAAATTTTCCTAACAGAAAGGACATCCCTGTCAAAACACATGAAACATATAGAATACCAAATAGACTGAGCCAAGAAGGAATTTTCACTTAACGTGCAGTAATCAAAACACCAAACATATAGAACAAAAATAAAATAAAACAAAAGCTGAAAGAGGAAAAGACTAAATATATTACTTACGTTACAGTAACACTTAACTTCTCAATGGAGATTCTTGAGAGACCACAGATCTCAGCCAAGACCACTGTACACAGCAAAGCTTTCAATCAAAATAAATGGAGACACAAAAACATTCCAAGATACAAATTTAAGCAGTATATATCTACAAATTCAACTCTACAAAAGGCACTAAAGTGAAAATTTCAACCTAAAGAGGTTTAACCACACCCAAGAAAACACAAGGAATATATAATCCCAGCCTAGCAAATCAAATTACTACAACAAAATAAAGTGGTCTCTGTCCCCAATAAAAAGACACAAACTAACAGAGTGTATTCAAAAATAGGATCTACTCTGCTGTTCCATCCAGAAACACTTTACCATCAGGGATAGATAGTATCTTAGGATGGAAAACGTAATTCCACACCAGCAGTCCCAAGAAGCAAACTGGTGTAGCCATTTTTAATGTCTGATAAAATAGACTTCAAACCAAAACTAATCACACTATATACTCATCAAAGGAAATATCCACCAAAAAAATTACTGCAATCCTCAATGTTTTTGGATTAAATACAAGGGCACCCAGGTTCATAAAGTAAATACTACAATAACTATAAAGTCACATACTGTCCCTCACACAGTAACCAAAGGACAGCTCATCTAGACAAAAACTAAGCAGAAATGATGGAACTGAATGATGTCATAAATCAAATGGTTTTACCAGGTGTTTTTTGACTATATAATTGAACAAGTCTCAGCAGAGCCAAGAAAGTTGAAATAACACCCTGACTATCTGACAACAAAGGATAAAAGCTGAATATCAACAACAGAAATTCGTGGAAACAAGGATAACTTACTACTGAATGAAAACAGAAATTAAGAAATAAACTTTTTTAGAGTTGAGTGAAAATGAAAACACAACATTACTAAACCGAATTTTGTAGATGGCGAGAAATAATCAAACTCAGGGTTGGAATCAATAAAATAGAAACAAAAGACACTGCAAAAAAAAAAAAAAATCAAATGAAGAATTGGCTGAGAAAATCAAGAATATTAAATAAACTCTGAGCCAAATTAACTGAAAGGTTGAGAAAGATACAAATTAGTAAAATTCGAGATCAAAAGGGGATAAGACACCAGAGTTTTAATGACAAAATCTATAAGAAATGGATAAAATTTTTGACGCATACCACTACTAAAGTTAAATCAAGATCAGATAAGCAACTTAAACAGATGTATAAACCCCAGTGAAATAGGAACAGTAATTAATAGTCTTCCAACCAAAACAAACCCAGGGCCAGGTGGATTCAGTGCAGAACTCTACCAGATTTTTAAAGAAAAATTTACACCCAATATGTTGCAAGTCTTCCTCTGTACCACCAACTCCCAACTCCCAAGTAATGACATTAAGACTTATTATTAATTATGAAAGCTCAGCCTATAACTTAAGCTTGTCCCTCCATCTTTTATAACTAAATTAACTCATTTGTATTCATCTATGTTTTACCTCTTGACTTTTTGACTCTTCTATTTTGCACCTGCTGTTTCCTCTCCTGGCGTCTCTCTCCTGCTTAGATCTATCTCCTTTTCTCTCTGCATGGAAGTCCAGCCTAATCTCTTCCTGCCTAGCTATTGGCCATTCAGCTCTTTATTAAACTAATCAGAAGGTGCCTTGGGAAAACACATTTTCTCAGTATATAAAATGATTATTCTAGCCAGGCGTTGGTGGTGCTCGCCTTTAATCCCAGCTCTTGGGAGGCAGGAGGATCTTTGTGAGTTCGAGGCCAGCCTGGGCTATAGAGTGAATGCCAGGACAGGCTCCAAAGCTACACAGAGAAACCAAAAAAAAAAAAAAAAAAAACCTCAATTCCAGTATCCCTAATTATTCCGCAATAGAAAAAGGGATATTGCCTAATTTTTTTTTTTTAAAAGAAGGACACTATTACCCTTATACCCAAACCACATGAAGATTCAAGAAAGTAAGGGAATTATATATCAATTTCCCTTGACGTAGATGTAAGAATTCTTCATATAATAAGTGCAAACCAAATCTAAGAACACATCATGAAGATTGTTTACTATGATCAAGTATGCTTCATCCCGGAGATGTAGGGATGGTTTAATATGCATAAGTTGATAAATGTAATTTACCATATAAACAAACTGAAAGACAAAAACACAATTCCTGGAGAATGGGGATATAAGGGATATACGTCAACACAATAAAGGTGATTTATAGGAAGCCCATAGCCAACATCAACCTAAATGGAGAAAAAGTCAAAGCCTTTCTACTAGAATCAGGAAAAAGTCAAGGTGTCAAGTCTCCATGTATCTTTGAAGCATAGACTTTTTTATTTTGTGGTAGATTAGGGTCTGTCTGGTTCTTCACAATCCCTTTAGGAATAATGCTGAAGGGATATTGGTTTTTTTTGTGTGTTGTTGTTTTTTTGTTTTTCCCCTGCTGTAGACCAGGGAGCACACCGAGTTAATTTGTCCTTTACTGCTGGTAGTACATTTTGTCACTTGGCCAAGAATGCCATCTGAGGGCTGCATGTATGGCTTAGTGGTGGAGTGCTTGCCTAGCATGTGCAAAGCCCTGGGTTCTGTCCCTAGTAACCACCTCACACCAAATAAACATAAACAAAACAAAAACCAAAGAGAACCATCTACCATTGTTTTCACTATATGTTAATATATATTCTGTGTGAAGCTACTTGAAATATATAAGCATTAATGGCTTTGCCATCTGTGAGGTACTGTAGTTTAAAAGACAACTAGTATTGGTTTTTTGTTGTAGTTACTAACGAATGATGTTACAAAGTGGGAATGAACTATTTAGATATTGTGTTTAAATGTGTTAGCTTGTACATAGAACAAAAGTTGGTGTTATACACATGTGTATGTCATTTTCTTTTTTATCTGAATTTTGCCATGTATATTAAGACTTTAAATCACTTTCAGTTGGAATCATACATCTACAAATATTACACACCAGAAATATATTCAAAATTTAAGTTGAAAAATTTGTTGCTGTTAAATAATACTTAAAATGGCATAGTTAGCATTCCAAACAATTTAGGTGCCATAAAATATAGGATGGGAGGAATTCTTGTTTGTAAAATTCAGGTAGCAAGAGTGTAAGCTGGGCTGTCAAGATGGTCAATCAGTAGAAGTGCTGGCGGCACAAGCTTGACCACCTTCATTCAATTCCTGAATCCATAAGAGAAGAGAAAACGAAGTGTCCCAAGTGTTTCTTTGACCTCTCCTGGAAATGCACTGTGGCTCATGCTTCTGGAATAATAGTTCTAATGATAGTAGAAGTGGTAATAGATAATAAAAGTTTAGTCTGAACTGGTGCTAGTTCATGTGACATTTAATAAATTCCTATTCCGTATGTCTCCCAACTTGCAATTAGGCATTAATATTTATCCTTAAGATCTTCTTGTCTTTTTAATAAATTGCCTCAGGCAGCTCTTAGCAGTAGGTGGATGAAAACTGCTTGATGCTTAGTATTATGCTCCAAGTACCCTCGCAGAGTTGGTCAGAACATGTGTGTTTAATGAACTGGGGGTGGGGTTGACACAGGCAGTGGGATTAAACCCGTTTGTTCATTGTTAACTCTGGCAGCACAGACAGTTTCATTAACAACAGCCTTTGTGAACTCTTCAACAATTATTGATTACCTTTCAGAACAAAAGAGACGAACACTTACTGAAAAAGAGAAATGTTCCCCAAGAAGAAAGCTTAGAAGATTCGGATGTTGATGCTGATTTTAAAGCAGTAAGTTACCCTCATTTTTTAATGTGCCTGTAAATATTTTTGTCATAACCACGGGACATTATTTTAAATTTAAGAGAAATTAGATAACGATAATTACAAGGCATATTAATTCATAACCAGATAGACTAGTAAATATTTTTGTTAATATTCTCTGCTGAACTATCTTTCTTTCTTTTTAAGCAAAATGTAACACTAGAAGCTATATTGCAGGTATGTTATTAATTTAATATTACCATCCTGAAATGGTTTAAAATTATTTTTTTTTAATGTCTGAAATATACACTTGTTGTTGCAGAATGCCACAAGTGATAACCCTGTAGTCCAGTTGAGTGCTGTCCAGGCAGCAAGGTAAGAGCTGAACCGTACTTCCTTCGGGCATTGGACCTGAGCTTGTAGTAGTATATTTATGTTCATAATTTGAGAGCTACAGCAATTAATTTTTTATATTTCTTTTTATAGGAAACTATTATCCAGTGACAGAAATCCACCAATTGATGACCTAATAAAATCTGGGATTTTACCAATTCTAGTCAAATGTCTAGAAAGGGATGATAAGTAAGTCTGAATTTGTCTACTCACTTTTTTCAGTTAACTTAAACTTTAATATTGGTATTTTACCAAAGGGTTCAGTGGTGATTTGCTTTTGCTAAGCTTAGATTTATTTTGTTTTGACATAGTATAGACAATAAGCATTTAAAGCAGATGCTCTGCCATTGAGCTGTATCCCTAACCTGTGTTTTTTAAATTGTCATATAGTCCCTTGTAATTTTCTTACTTACTCTGATGGGATTTAAACATTCCAAATAGTGTTTGAGTCACAGTTTGCTTATGAGTCTATATATAGATCAACCTCATGACTAGTCAGCATGAATGGTTTCCAGAACCACGTGGCTGTTCCTTGCCCTGGGAACAGTCTTACTGATCAGTGATCCTTTGGGTAGTCTCTAATAGCACTCCAGCCATGGTTAGTTGTTTCTTATCATATGACAGCACTCTGCTTACTCAGAAGAAAAGGGAGGGAAGAAAGGAGGGTAGTCCTTGGCATCTTGGAAACTTCTGTCCCCATTTCCATTTGTATATAGACATTTTTGGGGACTGTGCATTAAACTCCATCAGTTTGAATTAGATTGGTTTGAACTCCAAGATTCTTTAAAATAATTACTATTTTTGCATCTAGAACATATGGCCTGTAACAAGATATTTTGCTAAATGTCCAACAAATTTTTAGTTGATTAAATAAAAACAGTGGTTTATAAAGTGCTGTGGCTAAGGGCTTTTTGCATTCAAGAGCACCTTATGTTTCCACAGTAGCTGCAATCTTCCCTGTACCTCTAGGCCTTAACTGTGTCTGTTAATGCATTTAAGATAACCTCAGCAAACATTAAAATGCATTGATGTGCCATAAGGAATGAAAACAAAGCCACTTCCTTTGACATTGACTTAACGAAGAGTAAGCCCAAGTTTGAATTTTCATTATTCTCCCCATGTCCTCCATTTGTCTATATCTGTATTCTGCCTGCTGTATATGTCTGATTTGTATCTGTTGCCTATCTGCTCTGTATGTGTCTGAATCTGCCCCTGTCTTTGTCCGTCCCTAGCAAAGGGCTTTTGCTCTGTATTGGTCAGCACAGAAAACATGGAATTGAGAAAGGGATGAGGAATTCAACATTATTCTGTTAAAGGCAAATTATGTTTAAAGAGACAGAAGAATTCCTAGTAGGCTAGCAGGCTAAAAAGTACACTGTCTTAAGTGATCTCACGGGGATTATCCATTGAGCTGTGAGGTCTGGAAAGTCTCAGTCTCTTTGGGAGCAAGAGATACTTTGATTAAGATGTATCACTATACTTAACACCTTTAAAAATGCTGTATATTTTCCATAGCCGAGTTTATTTGAGTAAAGATAAATTTTATTTCATCTGTTTAAAAGATTAAATTCCATATTACATCTACCACTCCGTTTTGTTCTCTGGTCCTCCCACTCCTGCCTCAGGCATCCCATCTGTAAAAATTAGGTGGTTGTGAGAAAATGTACATAATTCATATAAAATATTCCGCATTGTTTACTTGCTTCATTCAGCTGTTTTTATATCTTTATCTCTTTGTGTCCCATGTGGTGCTTTAGAAAACTTTTCTTGGCCTTGCAATTTTATTTTTTGTTACCTTCCCATTTTTCCATTCATGGCCCCTGTTTTCAGTGCTTCCCTAGGATTCCTTCAACAATTTGCTAACTCTTGCCACTTCCAGTTTGGTGTAGTATATATTATTTGTTGCTTCCTGTCTCATCGTCCTGTTAACATTCCCTAACCCCAGTCTGTCTTTCATACCTTCTCATCCCTTGCCTTCTGCAAGAATTGATTGTGTCATCTCTTGTCTACTCCACTTTCTATTTGTTTCTCTGACATATAATAATTACTTTCCATCTGCAATTCTGCTGTAACTGGTCATTTGCTTTTCTTCTTCAATGTTTGTATAGAGATTTTTCTTTATGTTCCCTGGTTTTGTTTTTTGTTAGCCATATACCTTCCTACTCCAGTGTTCTTTCCAACATTATATCCATCCATCCATCCATCCATCCATCCATCCATCCGTGTTACTTCTTTTTAGTAGATCTCTTCTTTATCCGCCTTTAACCTATTTTATCTATTTTACATGCTGTTGACTATGACTCTGACCCCACCCCTCACTCTACCCCCCCCCCCTTCCCCATCCTCATACAGGACAGGCGGTGGTACTCTGCCACTAGACTGTGTCTCTAGTCATTGCTTCTGGTTTTGCTTTTGAGTTGAAATTTTGTTCATTGACCTGGGTAGGCCATTTGGAATTCACTCCTTGGCCCAAGCAGTCTGTAAACTTACATCCATCTTCACACCCGCTTCATATCTAAAATTGCAGGCCTACACCTGGCTTTACTCCCTTCTACTACCTTTCCTTTCTTCTCTCTCTCTCTCTCTCTCTCTCTCTCTCTCTCTCTCTCTCTCTCTCTCTCTCTCACACACACACACACACACACACACACACACAGGGTCCTTACTGTGTAGCCCTGGCTATCCTGGAGCTCACTATGTGTGTGTCATTATAGTTCTGAAGCCTAGAATTTGAGATACAGGCGATATCTCTCCAACATTCATCGTTTCATTTTTGTGCATTCTTAACTTCAGCTTTCTTGATCTGTTTCCTATTGTCCATACATATTATCACCCCACCTATGATAGCCCTTTTTAACAGGTTGTCAGTGCCTCCTGTTTAAAATCAAATTTAGAAGAGTAATTTGGTTTTTACTTTCTCTGTTAGATCTTTCATGACTGCCTCAAATTACAATGCTTTAACTGTAGAATTATGCAGGCTTGTAATAGCTGTAGTTGGTAATATACCCAAATGGTATAGTATACTCAGGTTGGGTTCCCAGTTTTAAGACTGGTCTGGAGGCCACAGCTGTTATTAAAGTGATGTGAAAACTTTGGCTAGTACAGTGATTGTGAGTTACTCTGTAAATGCAAGGAATATTCAGGAGGTAAAATTGTCATGACTTACTCTTTAAATGTTTTTGGATCTGGAGGAATCCAGAGACATAATTGGCTAAGTGTTGCAACTATCATGGCCATAAAGAAGGCAGGTTTGTGATGATTATTGGAGATGCAGTCAGATGGTTAGGTAGAAATGGACAGCCAGTGAAATTGACAGACTAGGTAAGATGCTTGTAGATTTGAGATTATAAATTAAGGTGATAGTTCCATGTCTAAAATGATTATTTTATTTTAACAGTCCTTCATTACAGTTTGAAGCTGCTTGGGCACTAACTAATATAGCATCAGGAACCTCTGCACAGACTCAAGCTGTTGTACAGTCTAGTAAGTCAAATCTTTCTTTTTAATGATGACATTGGGTTTTATACTAACCACTGAATTTCATCTTAGAATATTTTGAGGTTATAATATAAAGTTTTTTATCTTTTCCATAAGTATTATCTTGTTATTTTGGACCCAAAAAGAGAATACACTTTTATCTTTCAGGTAAAGACCATCCCCTGATAATAGGACTGAAATGTCTTGTCTTTAATACCTTCTGAGTACTATGAGGAGCTTAGGCCTTTCATGTTACTGCATATACTTGTTTTGGGGGGTGAGGTGGAGAGGTACAGGGTCTTGGTGTATAGCCAGGTCTGTCTTTGAGTAGCCCCCACCCACCTGAATTTAAACTCAGGATAGCCTGGCTTTGGCATTCTGAGTGCTGGGATTACAGCTGTTATGCCTGGCTCACACTGATTTTTTTTTTTTTTTTTTTTTTTTATTCCGTAAATTGTGATAAATTGTGAGACAGGTCTTGGCTGACCTGAAACTTGTTGTATAGATCAGGCTGGCCTTAACACTTACAGAAATCAGCCTGCCTTCTGACTCATGACTGCTGGGATTAGAGGTGTATGCTGCTGCACTTGGCTCATTGGTAAACTTGCTTATTTCAATATAAACCACTATGATTTTGTGGTTGAAATTAAAGTAGCTTTTCTGATCTGGTGCTAATTGTAGTAGTATACAAATTTTTAATAAATTTTTAATAGGAACTAAAGGTTAACTACAGCATCTTATTTAAATTATAAACTGTATTTAACAGTGGTGGGAATATAAAATCCTTTGAATATTAGGGTTTTTTTTTTTTTTTAGCTACTCCTGAAATTTGCCATGTGTCCCCAGTTGTATACCTAGATGAAATGGGGAGAGAAAGCAAGAGAAAGCATGCGTGCAATAGATGCACGCAGCATCAGTCATAGTTACAGAAGGCCACATTAATGGATCAATAAAATGTATGCAACAGAATATTCCTTAATAGTCTAGAAGAATAAAGCATTGGTCCCTGTGACATCATAGTTGAACTTCAGAGTCCTGAAGTAAAAGAAACCAGACATTTTAAAAAAAAGTTACGTTCGGTGTGATTTCTCTGAAATGTCCATAATAGATAAATGTATAAATAAAAAAGACAGCTATTACTGAATGCCTGGTTCTTGGGTACTGAATAGTAGAAGAGTAGGTAGTTAGTGATTGCTAGAGATGAGAACTCTTTGAGGGATGATAAACATATAGTTCTGCCAGAGTGCTAAAAAGTAATACTGACAGTGATGCATTCTTCTATTTTAAAGTCTGAATCATTTTTAATAAAAAGACCAAGTAAATTATATGTACGGGTAGAGTTAAATATCCTAGAGGTAGCACAAGAGTAGAAAGTGTAGTGTGTAGGATATAGTAGAGTAAGAAATTTAGGGACTAGAGAGATGACTCCACAGTTAAGAGCACTGGCTGCTTTTCCTGGGGATTCAGGTTCTGTTCCAGCACACACACACATAGTAGCTCACAGCCATCTCTAATTCCAGTTCTAGGGGATCAGATACCCTTTTCTGGCATCCACAGACACTTGTGCACAGATATACATGTAGGCCAAACACCCATACACATAAAAAATAAAGATATAATGAGTAAGAAATAAGATTATTTTAAATTATTGGTCCTCCCTCTCTTCCTCCCTACCTCCCTCCTCTCTGGTTTTATTAGATTACATCATTTGATTCATATGGACGTGATAAGGAATAGTGTGTCTATCACCCCGCCCCCCCCCACACACACCCATAGGAAAAAAAATACAGAAGTGCTAGCAGGCAACAAAAACGATCAACTGTCTACATGTTGCATGTTTGGAACGGGAACTTTTTGTTTTTCAAGACAGGTTTTCTCTGTAAAATAATTCTAACTGTCCCTGACCTAGTTCTGTAGATCAGACTGGCCTTGAACTCACAGAGACTCATCTACCGGTGCCTCCCAAGTTCTGGGATTAAAGGCGAGTGCCACCATGGCCCAGTTGTGGTAGAACTTTTAAAAAATTGATTAAGGGAAGATTTTGTGCTTTTTTTTTTTTTTTTTTTTTTTTTTAAATGGCATAGTAACTAACATGTTTTAGGCTTTGTTTGGTGCTTTATTACTCAGGCATTATCAGGTTAAAATGCTGAAATTCGTTGTTTTTATGTACCCTTGCCATGTTTGTGCAGTGGACTGCAGTTGGGCAGCTATAGTATGTATCTGAATTGTGAATATTGTTACTTGGCTGAAATCTGTGAATATAATAGACAAGCCAATTTTTCTTACCTACAGATGCAGTGCCACTTTTTCTGCGACTCCTCCATTCCACACATCAGAATGTTTGTGAACAAGCGGTGTGGGCTTTGGGAAACATTATAGGTAAGCTGAATTTAAGTTTGAAAAAAGCTTTAGTTGACTATCTTAAATTAACTTTTTTCCTACATTGGCATGGCCATTACATACTATGTTTCCTCTGAATTTCATGTGAGTTGACTGTATTCATAAACATTTGTAAGGTGGTTCTTAGTGTAAAAGGAATATATAATTTGTGTCAGTAGTGTTTAAATTTGTGTTCCCCAAATCAAAGTCACAGACAGCAATGCTTGGTGTCTGACTTATGGTGAGGAAACATAGGACATCAGTGTCCCAACATGAGCCATTGCACACATTTCAAACTTTCTCATCCTGACTGTAATTTTTTTTTTTAAATACAATTTTCATTTCTGTAGGTGATGGTCCTCAATGTAGAGATTATGTCATATCACTGGGAGTTGTCAAACCTCTTCTGTCCTTCATCAATCCCTCCATTCCCATCACCTTCCTTCGGAACGTCACATGGGTCATTGTCAATCTCTGCAGGAATAAGGACCCCCCACCACCTATGGAGACAGTTCAGGAGGTAAATGCAGAATTGTAAAGGCGGGATGGTTTATATCCCTGTTTATGCGTTAGTAATGTATTAATGCACAGGGAATATAATGAGCATATACTGATTTCATTGAAAGTATGAAGTTTCTTCTGTTTTTAAGTATAACATACCATATGTCAAAGTGTGTTGAGTATTGTACAGTAGCAAAAAGAATGTCAGTCCATTTTAATGTATATTTTTCATGACTGTTCCCATGAATTGAAAACAAACTCATATGGGGGTGGGTGGAAGCCCAGTTTTGCTGTACTGCCTGATGAATTTAATGCTAAGGAATATGCAAATAATTTAAGTAAATTTGCATTCAGTCTACTGATTTCCGGCAAAATTGACGTTCTTAGAACGTCCTGCATAACTTTTATTCACTGGGTTGTATAGAGTCAGTGACTCTTCATCTTTATATTCTGTGTCTTTATCCAGCGTCTGTCCCTTTTGTTAAGATACTGTACTTAATGTGAGTTCCTAGCAGCAATTTTTCAGTTGCTCTAGATTTATAAAATATCTGTTAGGTTCAGGGTCCACAAATAAAACGTTTACCTTGTGCTGGTTGTAATTTTCTTTATTAAAGCTATTGTCTTACTCAAACAGCATATTTAATAAAAATTTAGATAACTGTGAAAAGTAATTTCTCTTAACTGTTGCTGTATGCTAACATCTCCATTCTTCTCACCTAACATTTTATGTCATTTATAAATAAGGCTTCTTGAAACAATTAACTTTCTCTTAAGGAGTATTAATGTTTGTCAGATTTATTTGGATCTTATAATTAGACATTTGAAATTCGCTTTTTAATTTTTCAGATTGAATTTACTAAACTAGATATTCAGTCATGTTTCACACTGTGTTTTAAAGTAGTTATGACTTTTTGTGTCACAGTTTTTATTAAGAAATGTCCATCAACTAGTGTTACCATTTATCTTCTTTCCTCAGATTTTGCCAGCTTTATGTGTCCTCATATATCACACGGACATAAATGTGAGTAAAGTGGTGTCATTGTGGGATTTGTGTGGGATTTAAAGACCAGAAGGGTCTTTAAAATGAGTGCTAGAGTAGTCTGTTCATTTGTGTGTGCTGTACTCCCCCCACCTCCTGCACACACACCCCTCCCCCCACCCCCGTTTTGGAGACTGAAAGTAAGTTTGAATCAGATTGATGTAATTTTTGTCTTTAATCTTCCTGTCAGCAAATACACTGTGTGGTTATCTTTCTCTGTGGTGTCACTTTCCAAAGTTTCAGTCATCTGTAGTCAGCTGCAGTCTAAAATGTTAAATGAAAAACTTCAGAATAAATTATTAATATATTTTAACAACTTTATACTATGTGGCTATCACTGCTCTAATTCATCATTAATTATTGTTAATTCCTTATTCTGCCTAACTTGTGGATTAAACTATCTGATATGTATGTATAAGAAAACACACACATCTATCTGTGTATATATATATAAATATATGCTGTGCTGTCTCAGGCATCCATGTGGGGTTTTATAACTTGTCCCCACAAGTTGGGGGGTGCTGTAGTGTTATTTGTAAGTACAAATATTTATAAAATGGTAGAATTTTATGACAGACTTGAAGCCAAACCCATGGCCTCTACCATGATCTCAAAAACATACGACATGGTGTAAAAACAGATAAGAAAGTATAATAGAGAAATAGCCAAAATTCTTTGATTATGAAAGTCCATATAATTTTATTTGGAAAATTTAAAAATAACACCAAGGAAGTAACATTTGGAACGAACAGTATAAGAGCCAGGTGTGATGGTATGCACCTGTAATCCTAGCACTGGGGAGGCAGAGAAGGGTTAGGAGTTCAAGGCCAGCCTGAGTTACATGAGATTTTGTCTCAAGAAAACAAAACCCACAACAAAACAAAATATTTACAGCATTATGAATGCAAGGAATTTGTAGCAGGAATGGTCAAGATGATGTCTATCTTTGGTTTAAAATGTATGGAATACTGTTTTATGCTCTTGCCATATATCAACCTGTTTAGTTTGTAGAACATCCTATGAGATGATACTTCTGTCTGAAGTCATGTCTGAAGTCATTGAGTTGACTCCAGTAGTTTTTTTGTTTGTTTGATTGTTTGTCAGGTTGAGCATCCTTTTAGGAACACCAGGAAGGGTGTTGAGAACTTGAATACATTGAGGTTTTAGACAGTACAAGTAGACAGTGAGTGACTCAAAAGCTTGATGTGAAGGTCCTGTGTTTAAAAGGTTTAGGCTTTGCCTGGTAATGAGTGAGGCCTGTGGATGGTTTTCAGATGGAGCAGTGATACATTTATATGTGTAACATATGAGAATTGATATTTGTAACAGACATGAGAAAAAGTTTTACATAGGCAGAGCTACTTTCTTAGAATAGAATTGAAGTTGATGAAAGCATGAAAAATAGTAATAGGCACAGCTAAGGAAAGGAAAGTGACCAGAATTATAGAACTTTTCTGTGAGTATTTTCCAGCACATAGGAAGGTTTGCAGATTATAGGGGACTGATGAAAACATGGATATTGAATAAGATTCCGTAGGTGAGGCTGTATTTTAGAAAGTGCTAAATTTCAGCCCTGAGGGATTGTGTTTGAGGTTTAAAGCAAGGGAGGAAGAACCAGCAAAGCAGTTAAGTGTAACATGTTAGATCCTAGACCCTGTGCTACCTCCCTCTCTCTCCCAGAAATCAGGTCACATCTCTCTGCTGTCCACCCCTTAGAACAAAAGACTGACAGACACCTGCTGTGACTTTGGGGGGGGTAAACATTCCCCTACCAGCCACCCAGTGGAAAGTTGGTAAGAAAGCACTCTGCCGTGGCCTTCACTCCCCTTCACTAGCAGCTGCAAGAGAAGCTTATGGTCCTGCCTAGTTCCTGCCTGTGTGCACAGGCCCCACCAAACTGGGTCGTACAATAGGAAGTCTGCCCACCTCTCTGGCAGCCTGTAAGAATCAGAAACTCACTTTGTTCTGAGGATTTTTAAGGCTCTTTGCTTCGGAACCCCTGTCATATTTTTTATGTCTTCTAACTCTCCTACTGAGACTCCTTTGGGAATTGAAGGGGAGGGAGGCTGTCTTTGTTCAAGGTCCCATCATGATGGCCTATGCTCTGTCTCTTTTAATATGTTCCCACTTCAAGGCCCAGTCATGCGGAAACCTCCTCCTCCCCATTTGTGGTTGTGAGGCTTTCTTGTTCTCTTTCCTAATTAGTAAAACTCATTCTGAAAGGTATTCTTATGTTGGCTCCTTTCATGAACCCACTTTCTTTTTTTCCTTTAATCAGAGCAATGGACACATAAAATTTTAATTGGATAAGGCAGAGATCAAACAGACTGTAAATCATACAGGGTCTTGGATAAAATATTAAGACTCACATAGCTATTTTATATTGGTGATAACAAAGTTAGAAATAAGTAGTTGAAATTATATTCTGGATTCATAACTCACACTTTGTAAGAAAAGTATAGATTTTTAGGGGGATTGTAGAGTTGGAAAGACATATTGGTAGTGCATTTTTGGTAGACACAGGAGAAAATTAGCCAATGCTAGAGCTAAGGATTAGGAAATAAGAAAGTCTGGAAGACTTTAAGATATGCTTAGATTGAAATTTTGCTGGATTTGATATGTATGTTGAGAGAAGAAATGAGGAGTAACACCTTCTCACTTAGATGTTAGGCTGGGTACGACAGCACAGATATCAGCAAGAGGAGGCAAAGGCAACAGGACTAAAGCTGTATGAGGCGGTCATGAGAATGAGGGAGGGTAGACGGGCTTATGGACTGTTAGGTGTGTCTATACCCTTACTGTTGTCAGGGTTAGAAATCAAACTGCACCTGCTGTTGAGGATCATGGGAGAATCTAGAGGGCCAGTTTGTGTGTTTGAGTATTTTCTATTGTGTTGCTGAAAGTAGCAGTATGAGAGATACACTGGACCTGGCTTACACTTTTGAAGTCCCAAAGCCCATTACCAGTAACATTTCTTCCAACAACACCACATCCACTTCAGCAAGGCCATACCTCCTAATCCTTTATTGCTACTTCCTGATAACCAAGCATTCAAATATATGAGCTTATTGGGGGGTCATACTTATTCAAACCATCACAGCCCACTCTCTGTCCCCCATAGGCTTGTAGCTGTATCATAATTATTATAAAAATATATTCAAAAGTCCCATGGTTTATGAGTCTCAACACTGTTTAAAAGTCCAAAGTTCAGCTATGCAGTGGTGGTGCACACCCTTAATCCCAGCACTGGAGATGCAGAGGCAGGTGAATCTCTGAGTCCTAAGCCAGCCTGGTGTACAGAGCTAGTTCCAGGACAGCAGGGGAAATACAGAAAAACCCTTGTCTCGGGGGGGGGGGGGGACACAGATCCTGTACTTCCAACACACAATGACACAGAATATAGATTCATTACCTTTCCAAAAGGTAGGGAAGGAAACATAACTGTACCCCAAAACAAGAATGAATACTAGCAGAGCAAATTGCAAATTCTGCATTTCTGTGTCTGATGTCAGAGTGTTCTTCAGAGCTCTAAATCCTTTCCTGCTGTTGACTATAGCAGTCATCTCTCTCCTGGGCTGGTCCTACACCCAGTCTGCTTTCGTCAACATGTATCCCATGGTTCTGACATCTCCAATGTCTTGGGGTCTTATAACCAGAACAATAAAAACCTCGAGACAGATATTGGGGTTCAAGCTGAAGATCAGAAATGCAAAGCAGCCAAGCCAGTATCTCTTACCTCTACAAGCTAAAATAGTAATCCTGTCTCTACAAATTCACAGAGATAATGCTTTCCATGAGTCCTCAGAGGCAGATGCTCTTGGGTTCTTGTCTCTTCCTGCCTTGTATTCCTTTCTCCTCCCAGCCATGTCACTCCTACCTTCACCTTCCTAGTGCTGTGAATAAAGGTGTGTGGTTCCAAATGCTGGGATTAAAGGTATGAGTTCTGTTACTCTTTTGGGCTGATTCACTCTTGTATAGCCCAGGGTGGTCTTAGATTCATAGAGATCTGTCTTCCTCTGTCTCCTGAGTCCTGGGATTAAAGGTGTACCACCATTGCCTGGCCTTTATGGCTAGTATGGCTGCTGTGATTAAAGGTGTGTATTTCACCACTGCCTGGTTCTATGACTGTGGCTAGCTTTGCATTGTCAACCCTCAGGCCAGCTTTATTAAATCATAAATAATATGTCACTACAGGGTCTCCAAGATAAAGCAGGCTTCACCTTCACAGCTTCATACAATAGTTTCCATGCAGGAATACCACTGACACACTCTTGGGTTCAGCAGCTTTCCTTAGCCAAGGAGAAAGATTCCACAACCCATCTTTTGTATTTTTGATACTAAAGCCAGAACCACATGGCCAAAGCTGCCAAGTTCTGCTGCTTGATGAGGCTGGAGCTTGGCCCCCTTGTCCAATTACATTTTCATAAGCTTTCTTTTTCGGTGGTTTCCTTTACTTCTTAAGGTTTTCTTTTATTTCTTGTCCCAAGTTGGAAGCTTAGCTGGATGGGTCTTGTCCTTAGGTGACCACTTCCTTTATTCCATTTAGCATCAGACTTTAAATGTCTTATGTCCTTGAGGTAGACTTAGCCCCCTTACATTTCCTGGTGCCTCCTTTCAAACTGTACACTTTGTATTTCTTCTTGTTCAGCTTGCTTGTTCATTATAGGTCTGCATAAGAGAGACCACTAATAACCCCATAACACACTCAGTACTAGGCTGTTTTGAAATTGCCTCTGTTAATGCCATTAGTTGAAAACCCTTCAGTTTACTGTCAGGCAGATGGGGGGCAGGGCAAGGGTAGAAAACAGCCATATTCTTTGCCAAAATATCACAAGAATGGTCTAATATTCTTCTGAAACCTTGAGCCAAGCTGTCATAATCTACATTGCTCTCAGCACCACTGTATTCTATGCTGTTATTGGTTTGGCCTATTAATATCTGCTTAAAGCCTTCAACTGCTTTCCTAATGCAAAGTCTACATTGTGCCAACAAGCTGCATGGTTAGGCCTGACAAAGCAATACCCCTATTTCTGGTACCAATTTCTGTTAATCACTGTTCTATTGCTATGAAGAGGTACCATGAGCCCAGCAACTCTTATAAAAAGAAAACATCTTATTGGGGCTTAATTAGTTTTGAAGTTTAATCCATTGTCACCATGGTGGGGAGCATGGTGACATACAGGCAGGTATGGTGCTGAAGGAGTATCTGAGAGCCTGCACCTTGATCCACATATGTGAACCAGGGAGATGAGAGAAACACTGGGCCTGGCTTGGGTTTGAAACTTCAAAGCCTACCCCCAGTGACACATTTCTTCCAGCAAGGCCACACCTTCTTCACCAAAGCCACACCTCCTATTCCTTCGAAAGCAGTGCCACTCCCTGATTGCTAAGCATTGAATTATATGAGCCTACGGGAGCCCATTCTGTTCAAACCATCACACTGAGATTGTGTGGTTTCTTTTGATGTAGCTCTTGAGTTCCTTCTGATTTTCCCCTCCGTAATGCTCCCTGTGACAGTTTCTGTTTCAAACATATGCATAATTTCTCCCCTCCCCTCCTCTCTCATTCTTCACTCTTCAACTCCTACAGGCTTAGAACAAATCCAGATCCACGCTAATATTTAAGTGGTTTCTTCTTATGGGTAGTTTGAAATTGTATTCTCAGGATTCTTAGCAATGCTAATGGTATAGATTATGCCTGATTTTGTCTGCTCCTCTGACTTGTATGTGTGCCTTCTTGAAGGATATGTGAATTCAGGTAGCTGCTTTTAAAAATCAGGCAACAAGATGTCTTTAAATTGGATCTTCAGTAGAAAGGCCTCTGGATTTCAAATGGGTTAAGAGTGGTGCTCATGCAGCTTGAAGAAACCAAGGAGAACCACTAGCTCTGTGTCCAGAATCAGTTAGCCCAGAGGCTGTTTGGTTTTGTTCTCATAAGTAAAAACTTGTTTAATTTGGGTTTGGGGCTCTCGTGCAGCCTCAGCTGCTCACTCTCACTATATAGCTGAGGGTGGCTTTTCCTGCTGGTTGCATTCCCCAAGTATTGCACCATTTTAGTCAGCACAGTGTGATTGTATTCCATGCTTTTCCTTTGAGGGCCTGCATCAAGGTTCAAGTGCTGAGTCACTCCTTACCCTTCTCACTTTAGTAGTCTGAAAATTTGTATTGCTGAACATACTTAAGACCAATAAATTGGATCTATGATTATTTTGGGGTCTTCTAGACTTGCTTTGACTTCATACTTATATGTGAAATAGATTTTTAGTGCTTAATTTTGGGGCTCAGAGAATTTTCTGCTTGTTGAACAATTTTACTTATTTTATGTCTGTGTATTATATATGTGTATGAGCACTGCACCTGCAAGGAGGTCACAAGAAGACTTTGTCTGGTTGGTTTTCTACTTCCACCTCTGTGTGGCTTTGGGGGATTGAACTCAGGTCACCAGGCTAGCTTCAACCTCTTTGCTTGCTAAGCTATCTTGCCAACCCATTATTTCTATTTTTATCTATCTGGAATATAAACAGGCATCCTAGACTTCTGTCTCGTGTTTATGAAGGGTGACCACAGGTAAGCCCTGAGAGAAAAATTAAATTTATATGTACAAGGATGCCTTTGTAACCATGTTAAAAACAGAAAACTTTTTTATTTTTCTGTTTCAACTCCTGGAATGCCCTTTTCCTGTTTGTACTTATAGATTCTTGTAGACACTGTTTGGGCTCTGTCGTACTTGACAGATGGAGGAAATGAGCAGATACAGATGGTTATTGATTCAGGCGTGGTACCATTCCTTGTGCCCCTTCTGAGCCACCAGGAAGTGAAAGTTCAAGTAAGTATTTTCATTTTTTTTTTTATCATATAAACCTCTTCTTTTTATGACCAACCTTTCTACAACCATCCTTCAGTTAAGTCCAACAGAATGCACCTCAAGATTGTTCTAGCTCATCTCTTGAACCCTGATTTCTTCATTTGCTTAACTTTTCAGCAATTCAGTTATATATGCCATTAAACATAGACCTGCATGATAGCCATTGTCATTTCAACTAGACAGGAATGAAACTGCTGGCCGTCACATATTGCTTTCTTCTAGTACCCTGTTAGGAAATTGCATGTTGCTTGTCTGATGCCTACATTCTCCTTCATCTCTTCTGTTGGATCCTGGGTTTGCCTCTCCTGTTGGATGCTTAGGCTCTTTCTTCATCATCTTCTGTCAGAGGTCCCTTTCTTCTCGCTTAAGCTTTCAGTGTGCCTCCCCCTTAACTCTCTGTCTCTGGGAGAGTTTTTGTAACCTTCCAACTGCATACCCTCTGACTCTGCTCATCATGCTACTCTGCCAAAGTGTTTTTCTAAATACAAATACATGCTGACACAGGATAACATTAAATACAGGACATTCTTAAATGATAAACACAAATGTGTGCTGATGCAGGACCATATTAAAATCTGTGGTATCGGTTTGATCATAAATAAGAACAATTGTTTTTAAAGATATTACTTTATGATTCTTAGTTTCCACTTCTCAAAATCAAAAACTTTTTATATATTTATTTTTGTGTGGTATTTGGGGGAGTTGTTTTTGCTTTTTTATGTATTTTCGAGACGGAGTTTTCTCATGTAGTCCTGGCTGTCCTGGAACTCACTCTGTAGATCATGCTAGCCTCAAACTCACGGAGATGGAACTGCCTCTGCCTCCCAAATGCTGGAATTAAAGGTGTGTGCTACCATTGCCATGCCTAAAAATCTTTACTGTAACAAATTTTCATATAATTTTTCTGTGGAGTTCCATAATTTTCCACATGAGATTATTGTTTAAAAGTCATTGCTTAGTTTGGTTATGGCTTTGTTGTGGGGATGAAATGAATGTTAATCATTTCCTCCTCACATTCTCTCAGAGGTATGAAAAATATAGAAATAACAATTTCATTATAAACATGCTTAACACTTTTCTTCCTACTCTAGACGGCAGCACTCAGAGCAGTTGGGAACATAGTGACTGGCACCGATGAGCAGACCCAGGTGGTTCTTAACTGCGATGTGCTGTCCCACTTCCCAAACCTCTTGTCACACCCAAAAGAGAAGATAAACAAGGTAAAGGCGCACACGTTCTTCCTTTTGTCTGTGACTGCTTCCTTGCTGTCATGACACTCAAGACAAGAATGATTTTAAGTGAATCTTTTATAATTGTTTTAGTTTCTGTTTCTTTTATCATCACAGGATGAAAAAAATTATGTTTATAGGTTGAGCAGTATCATTAAATTAGTAACCAGTATGCAAAAAACATAATCTCTCACTAAAATAGGTGGTATTTTTTAAAAAATGGGGAAAAAACCAAAACATGATCATTTACTCCCCTACAAAATTAGAATAGAATTTAGGTTGTCATGTTTCCTTTCACATACTGTAAAAACTTACTCTCTTAAGAGTTTTAAATTTATTTAAAAATTTATTATTAATTGTATAGTAAATAATTAAATATTTAAGTAGTTTTATAGTTTGTTTTTAAATTTTTAAAATTTGTTTATAATAGAGTGTTTTAAAGTGCTCTGTGCGTGTGTGTGTGTGTGTGTGTGTGTGTAGGACCAAAAATTTTATTATTTTTAATTCTGTGTATGGGTGGGTGGGGGACATGTGCATGAATTCAGGGGCCAGCAGAGGCCAGCGGCATCAGCACTCCCTGGAACTGGGAGCACAGGTGGTTGTCAGCCACTTGGTATGGGTACTAGGAGCTGAGTTCTGGTTCTGGAGAAGAGCAGTCCATGTTCTTTACCATGGATGGGGCCATCTCTCCAACTTCCCCACTTTGTATTTTGAAGCAGGGTCTCTCATTGGGCCTGAGCACTACAGATCCTTTTGTCTCTGCCTCAGCAGTGTTTCAGGTACAAAGCATGCCACTGAGCCTAACTTTTACCTGGATGCTGGAGATTAGTCGGGTGCTCATGTTTCTGGGGCAAACATTTTTACCAGCTGAGCCATCTCCCCCAGCCCTGACTTGATTTGCTTTTATGGCTAAATAAGTTGTTGTATGTGTATATCACATTTTTCTCATGTGCCTGTTGATTGACACTGGGGTAGTTTTCACCTCATGGCTATAGTAATAATGCCACAGAAAACACTGGCATATCAGTGAGTGTTTCAGTCCTTGATTTAATTTTCTTTCTGACATAGCTAGAAGTTGCTGAGTTATGGAAATTGTGTCTAGTGTTTTGAGGAACCTTCAAATTGGGGTTTTGCTTTCTCCTCAGCTGTGTGTACCGATGCTTGTCACCATGCATCTCAGCATAGGTGGTGAGCACCAGAGCCTAGGTCCTCATGCTCACCTTACCCACTCATCCTTGTCCCCCACCTCATGCTTTCAAGTAAACTAAAGCTCGTTAGCAGAGGTAGCTTTGACAAGTATTTGGAAATCCTATTCTTCAGGCCTGCCTTTCATGAGGCACTAGTGTCATGTACCACAGGGGTAAAGATTTGGGTCTGTTCATTTGCTGCTGTGTCACCTTTGCTCAGAATAGTGCCTAGCTTATGGTAGGCTTATAGATTATTAAATAAATGCTGGGTTAACTGGACACACAAGTATTGGGAATGGAAGCTTCCTTCCCAATGGGAGGTCTGAACTGGTTAAATCACAGGTAAAAATGCTAGCCATGTAAATCTGACAGCCTGAGTTAGATCTCTGTAACCACAAGATGGATGGAGAGAACCAAATCTAAAAGGTCAGAAGTCTTCTGACCTGCACATGGGTGCAATGGTTTACTTGTATACAAACACCAGACTCATATAAAATGACATAAGTAATGTAAAATGTGAGGTCTTAACCAGTCACGTTTTGGATACTACTCAGGAGATTTTGTTATCAAATATTTAAAACATTAAAGAGAAAGATAAAACATTAAAGGTAGTTTTTCTAATAAAAGTGGCCCATATTTTGTTTATTCTAGGAAGCAGTATGGTTCCTTTCCAATATAACAGCAGGCAATCAGCAGCAAGTTCAAGCTGTGATAGATGCTGGCTTAATCCCCATGATCATTCACCAACTCGCTAAGGTCAGTCATATCAGGGATCCGTTATTTATTTTAATTTGTTATGACCCAGACTTTTGGATAAAGAATTTATTTTGTGAATTTGTTTTTACTCTTCAGGGGGACTTTGGAACACAAAAGGAAGCTGCTTGGGCAATTAGCAACTTAACGATAAGTGGCAGAAAAGATCAAGTGAGTTTAAAAAAAATTAACTGGTCACTATTACTAATTCCAGCAAGGGCACTTCTTTTCTTAGTTTTAGAAGTTACTGAATGTTTTCATCTCTGTACTGCAGTTTTTAGAGGGAATAGAGAATTAAATTCATAAAACCTTTTCTTCTTTTGTATTAACTAGGTTGAGTACCTTGTACAACAGAACGTTATACCACCATTCTGTAACTTACTGTCAGTAAAAGACTCTCAGGTGGTTCAGGTGGTTCTGGATGGTCTAAAGAACATCCTGATAATGGCTGGGGATGAAGCAAGCACAATAGCTGAAATCATAGAAGAATGTGGAGGTAAGTAGTTAACATTGGAGTTCTACAGTACTAGTTCCTCTAAGCTTATTTTGTTAAGACAGTTGCTATTGAGTGTTCAGAGGATTTTGCTGATTTTATTCACCTCATTAGCATTACTGAAGGATTTTCACACAAAAAAATACAGTGGTTCATACTTTAGAAATACTGGTCACGAAGTCAATTTTTCTGGAGATTGATAGAATTTAGGAAGTGCTCAGTATTACATTGGTTTGTTACCCATTGCCATATCAAAAATACCTGAGGCTGAGTGCTTATAAAAAGGTTTATTTAGGTTGGGCTTTTGGGAGGTGAAAGTGTAAGACAGAATGGTTGTTCCAATTTGTGTTTAATGTGTGGGTATGCGTGTCTCTAGTGAAGTCTCCTGCCTGGGGGCAACAAGACAGAACACTTGGGAGAGAATAAAGGAAAGATCCAGGGACAGATTCAGTGTTTTGTAATAACTTACTATTGTAAAATGAAACTAAGGTTGGTTCTGCAAAGATTTTGTTAACTTTTCTCAGGGCCCCATTTCTTAATGGTTCTAAAAGCCCTCCCAACAACTGAATAGTGAGGACCAAAGTACTGCATTCCTCTTCATGTCACAGTGTGCAGGAGCATGTTAAAAAGCCTGGTGGACCGCTAGAGTAGATAGAAGCTTTGTTTAATCTGTTTCTCAAACTCCAGACAAATCGAACATATTTTTTATGTTGTACATATTACCATGTGTCTGGGTGGACCCTTCTGTGGGAAATGGTTACTCAATTGTGTGTCTTGTTTGAATTCTGTGAGATGGAGAGGCTTTTAGGATTGTTACAAATGTGTATTGACTTAATAAGACTGAAGTCACTAAGTATTGTCATTTCTAGTAAGGACATAATTAAACTTGTACTTAAAAATTCTGTTCTTAAAAGGTACCTGTTCAGTATGTACTAAAGTGTCCAGACATTAAAAAGTTTAATGATTTGTTTATTTGCATATTTGTTGACTATATGGATAGTTTACCCAGCTTATGCTATAGAGAACAGTAAATGCATTAACATCACAGAATCAGTAAAAACAAAAAGGTATGTGGGAGTTTGCCCAAGATCATATAAATGGTATTGATATAAGCGAAGCTGACATGGAGCTCACCCTACTATTCATGCTCATGCTTGTATTAAGATGTCTTATTTTTAAGATAAAAATTAGCTTTGTAGTCAAGTTCATAACACAGAAAGTTTGACTAACTTAGAGAAGTCTTTAATATTAAAGCTGTATTTTTTTTCCTATTTAGGAGTAATAATTATAATATATACTATAATCTCATAAAGCATTTTTTGTGTTGACACCCATTTCTCCATTTTTCGGATTTGTTCATTATGTTTTAAAAGCCAACTATTTCAATATGTTAAAAAAAAAAGTACTAAGTTTTAAATTTGTAGACTTGTGCATCTGGCACATGAAGTCCATGGTACATTGCACCTATAAAAGATGCTCTCAGATGAGCACAGGTGTGCACATGTATGTGCAGTGCATCACTTGATAGAAGAGGGTCTCAAGTTCAAGTCCAGACTGGACTACAGTCTTGTGATTAGTGTTCGGGAAGCTTCCTTTTCCTGCTCCTTATACCTGTAGATCTAGATCATAACCTTCACTTTTGTTTGTTTTGTTCTGAGAGGGTTTCTCATATAGCTCGGACTCTATCCTAGAACTCACTCTGTAAACCAGGCTCGCCTCAAACTCAGAGATCTGGCTGTCTCTGCCTTCCTGATGCTGGGATTAAAGGTGTGCACCATCACTACTCCTATTTACTTTTTTTAAATGCAGTGTTTCTGGTGTAAAGTTTCTATCAATTAAGTTCTAAAAACTTACATTCAGAAAACAGTGGAAGAGAAAAGATAAAAATACTATATGAGATACTGTGATTATATTGAAAACTTTTGGGAGTTTTTCAGATCTTATACTAGCATTAACTTGCTCCATGTTAGCATAAACAGACTCCATCACAACTCTATTAGATGGAATGTTTTGGTAGTTGATTATTATTTTTTTTTTTAAACTGTTTTCCCAGAGATAGGCAATCTCAAACATTTTTAAGGAAAAAGGAAATAATGAGCTGGTCGTTAGTTTTGTTTGTGTTACTTTAGGCTGTCATCTTTTTTATTTTTATTTTTTAAAGATTCATCTATTTTATGTATCTGCATGCATACCTTTATTACAGAAGAGGCCATGAGATCCCACTATAGATGGTTTTGTGCCACCATGTAGTTGATGGGAATTGAACCCTAGTCCTCTAAAAAAGCTCTTAACTCCTGAGCCATCTCTCCAGCCTTTTGACTGTCATCTTTGAGTGGAAACAAGGCATATTCTGAGGTTCAGAGAGTTTTTCTATGTGTGCAGATTAGTATCTCCTTAATTATTTTTGTATTCTTTGTCAGGTTTGGAGAAAATTGAAGTTTTGCAGCAACATGAAAATGAAGACATATATAAATTAGCATTTGAAATCATAGATCAATATTTTTCTGGTGATGATGTAAGTAAATATTAAAATACAAATGTCTGCATGTAGACTGAAATTTGAAATATAATGGTCATTTACTTAGAATTCTTCTCTTAATAATGTGCATGAAATTTATAATGTTAATCACTAAATACTTTATCCAAAATTTCACTATAAGGTAAAATTATAAAAGCATTTCTTGTTACAGTTTTAATCTATTTTCTGGGAAGAAATAATTCTGGAAATGACATTCAGATAGGTGACTTGCATTTGCATTTTAAAAAGTGCCAGGCACTTTTTAAAAATGAATATTGAATTGTATTTAATTTCTCAATAAAATTATTTAGGCAGTTAAAAATATTCATTTAGACTTTCCCCTTTATTTTTATAGATTGATGAAGATCCTAGCCTCATTCCTGAAGCAACACAAGGAGGTACTTACAACTTTGACCCAACAGCCAACCTTCAAACAAAAGAATTCAATTTCTAAGGTCAATTAAGTGCAGCACCTTTCATTCAATACAAACACCACCAGATGGCCACCAAGCGATAAGACAGCAAGCAACAGAAGGCTCCCAGCTCTCTTGCCTCTTCGTTTTGATGCTTCTAAAGCAAGCCATGTCTCAGTCACTTTGCAGTTGCCAAAAGTCACTCTCACATGGACTGTAAATGCATATGCATGATTTCCTAAACTGTTTTAGAATTCTCCTTAACAGCCTCAACTACCCTATTTTTCCATGTTCCCTGGTGCCACATGCTGACAACTGCAGTCTCCAGTTAGAATGTTCCATAGTGGTGGCGATCAGCTGCCCACTGATACTGCTTTGGAAAAAGGTGCGCTGTGGATCAAGACACTTGGTATGATGCTTATTCATATTGGAAGACTACAGAGGTGCAGTGTGATCTGAGCCTCCATTATTGTCCTCCACAAACATATTTTCATATTCTTATGTGGAAGAATTAAAGTACAAGCCAAATGATTTTCATTGGTGGAACTGACAAAAAAAAAGTAATAACTTAAAAACAAGAAACTTGGTTATTGATTAAAAAGATAAGTTTTTTAAAACTGTACTTCACTACCATGAATTGATGTGTTTATTATCTGCCTCAGAAGCCAGGGTTGGAGCAAGAGCTTTAGATGTCAGTGGTAATTAATGCTTCCGCCATTATACCTAATTGTTGAGAACAGCAAACCCTATTTGACCACTCACTTCAGCCTGTGTGTTCCTGCTGTTGAATAATCAAATGCTGTGCATGGTCTCTACCTGAGCTGCAACCTGTTACAGACTTGAACTTCTGTTAAGTTGAAAGCAAGAGTCCCTGACTACAAACCATACATAAATAAATGAATAAGTCAAAACAAGGATGGAAAAGGTCTAAAATACGCATTGCTGATGTTTTAAGATAGTCTTGCTTTCAGCTTCCGGGAGTTAATTTTTTTTTTTTTTTTGTTTTGTTTTAATTTGATAATTGGATATGGTTGATTTATATTGGGTTTAAACTGTGGAGCTTTCATGTTTACTGTAATTTAGTCTTACAACATTTTTTACTTAGTAACCAGTACTTTTGATAATGTGGTGGCAACAAACCAGCAACTATTTAGAAGTGTTACAAGACTTCATTCTTGAGTATTGGGGAGCTCATTCCTATCCCACTCAAAGCACCTGCACATGGTAAAGAGAAGCCAAGGATCTGTATAGAGAGGAATGATCTGCAGTTATTGAACTAGCCTGATTTGCAGTGATCTTTAGCTCTGCAGAATCTCTTATTACTGTGTAAAGTCATTGCTTTTGGCAAATTGTCTGACCCAGTTATTAATGAATGAATATGGATTTGAAATTTTTTAAACTAATTTGTGTTGTCACGGAAATGGTTTTGTTGCTCTTGTTCACTGGGTATAATTCCCCAATGCATTGATGTGAAGGGATAGAAATCTAAAATAAGTTCGTTTCCAGAAGGGGGGGTGTGTGTACTGTGATGAAGAGGAGACGGATGCCATCAGAGCTTTGTGAATCAGCTGGGGTGTTTTCACTGATAAACAACACATAGCAGGTGTGCTTCATTACAAATATATGTATCTGCCGAGGCGGAGCCACTTTAAAGAGTGAGTTTTGTCTTGTATCTGAAATGGATACAAGCGTATGTTTAAACTGCAAGATTTTTACTTGCTAGAGAATCTGTTTTAATATAGTGGTTTGGCCTCTGATTATTTATAGGTTTTATAAATTTTAGAATCAATTTCTCTTTAAGGTGGCTCAGATTTTTCAACTCTTGTGCACATAAAATTGAGTTGAAGTTCATTGTGCCTTTTTTCTTTACCCAAATTTTGAGTTCAAGCTTCATATGGTAACTGCATCCTGTTCAAACACTTGTCTAAATTTTGAAATTGTGTAGTGTTCACTAAAAGTAGGATTAACAAAGTCGGAATGAATTAAGGTCACAAACTTTGGTGAAACCCTTAAAGTCCAAATCTTCTGGATAGTGTTATTGTCCCCCTTCCAGTGTAGTTTCTTCTGGACCCTTCCTACTTAACTGACAGTTACCTTTTCAAATTTGCACACATTGAGATTAAATTGGGCCTCTACTGTGATGATTCCTATTTCCTCTCTCATCCTAAGTGCAAACTAACCTTTAAGTAACATTAGCGTCAAGTAGTGCAGACCTGTGTGCATCTGCTTGATTCAGTTTGCTGTGACCTTACAGTTTTGAATTGGAATCACACCATTTCGTAGATAAAGGAAACTGAGTGTATTGCTGCACTTTTAAGTTTTCAAAACAGTGTTTTAAAATTGCATTGTTTTTATTTTTTTTAAACTCAGTTTAAAAAACGACTAAAATGTTCTTTCAAAAGAGGCATCTAAACGTGTTCCTAATTTTGTATATGGGCTTAGGTTTTGTAACCAATAAAAAAAAGCTGCTATCAAATATGATAAAACATGGAAAGATTTATTTCTGAAAATAATTGTTTAGATTTGTTTTCTGTGTGGTTAAATTTAAATTTGGAATTATCTTCAAGTGCCAGCCACAGTAATGGAAAAGGATTTTGATGTCACCTTTCCACCTTAACAGTGACCAACCAATAGCTATTTTAGAGAATGTTCTGTAACACATTAAAAATACAAACGTATAATTTGCTAAGCGTCAAAACACTGAACCAGTAAACCAGGGACTTCAAACCATAGAACTGGTGCAGCTCTGCCAGGAAGAAGTCAAGTCAAGGTAGTATCTGGCTGCTCTCTCCCATACTCACCCTGGAAAGGGTTCCTTCCTGGCTTCTGGTGGTGACAGCAATTCTTGGCTTATAGGTTCATCACTCCATTCTTTGCCAATCCATGTGTATTGAAACATTGTAAGTTGGGGAGGAGGCAATAGTTGTTTGAAAAGACTGTGTGGTTATGGTTTTGATGAAACAAACCAGCCATTCAGATTAAGTCTGCCTAACCTTTGAAGGCATGAAATTGTAACAGACAGCAGTCATTGAAGCAACCCTGGAAGCTTTCCCTGTCCAGGTAGAAGTGTAGCTCTGAATGCAATCTTGGATTAATTAGAAGAACAAAGGAGCAGCCAGACTTTTGAGTAGGAAATATTCTATATACTGCCACTCCAAACTGCCTTAAAAGAAGCCAGTGTACAAGTAAATCAAGAAGATACTACGATCTCTCCATTATTTCTTTCAGAGCTGCATCCATTTAGGGCATTCATGACAGGTAAACCAACAGCACCTGGCTTTCAGATAGTCTTTCTGTGATAGTTAATTTTTTAACATTTTTTTTGACCTATGAGTTTTAACTCTCTGGAAAACTTTTAATTAACTGTTGGAGGGTGTAATTTCTTCTTCTTCTTCTTCTTCTTCTTCTTTTTTTTTTTTTTTTAAGGTTATTCTTAGCTGACCCCTAAAGTGCTCATAGACCCACCTTGAAGCTTAAAGAAAAAAATTATGCAAGAGCAAAAGACTGGGACAGGAAGATTCTCAGAATGTACATAGAGACCAGTCATCAAGAGGGGTGTTACAGCTGTGCCGTGGTGGCACATGCCTTTAATCCCAGCACTTGGGAGGCAGAGGTTTGGGAGTTAGAGGCCAGCCTCATCCACAGAGCAAGTCCCCAGACAGCCAGGATTTTACACGGAGAAACCCTGTCTTGAAAAATATAAAAGGGGGTTGGGTGGGATGGTTTTGGGGAAAATGGATGTGGGGATACAGTCTGTCCCCATGATTGCTTGGCTCAACAGATAACTCATTTCAAGGTGTTGGGTAACTGTTCTGAAGGTGTTTTCCTGGGCACTGTGAGATGATGAGCCTCATCTATGACTTCTATTCAGTAGGTTATTGTAGCACCTCATCCTCTTCTGGTCCTGACAATTGAACATGATTGAACATAGACATTGCTAAATGTCTCCCGAGGGCCCAAACTTCCATCCTTGTACACCATTGGTCTAAGTCAACTCCTGTAGAAAAGGTCCAGCTAAAACAGTGCACAAATATATGTGTTGTGTGGACAGTGGTGGTTTTTTCTCAGTGGTGTTCAGCAATTTCAGTGAGTTAGTGTTGGTCCCAAAAGTCAGCAGTGTGAAAACTTTGTTTCATGTTTATCACTTCCGAAGGCACATAAGAAAGTACTCCCTCGGAAAGCTTCAAGTTTTTTAAGTAATACAGAGAGAAGTAGAGATCTTGAGAGGCATGCTCTAGGTCCTGACTACAAATCCGAAAACCATTAACTGAGTAAAACAGAATTCCATCACTAAGAAACCAGATTGCTAGGTGGTGGTGGTGCAAGTGGATATCTGTGAGTTCAAAGCCAGCCTGGTTCAAAGGGTAAGTTCCAGGACAGTCAACGATACTCAGAGAAACCCTGTCTCAAAAAAACCAAAAATGAGAGAGAGGGGAGGGAGAGAGGAGGAAGAGGAAGGAAAATGGTAGGTAGCAAGTCTCAGAAGGGAGTCTTTTGCGGTGCCCCGTTAACCATCTACCTCTTGAATGGTTCCCTTTCCAATGTCAGTGTCCAAAGACAAGACCTTGTATGTAAAGCTGAAATACTAAGAAGGACTGTCTCTATGGGGTAACAGTTTTTTTTAAACCAGTTTTATGAAACTGTAAACCTAGGTGTCTGCGTTGCAGAGCATACAATTGCATTTTATAGTGTAGAGGTAAAATTAGATTTTTGAGGCTGCCATTTTATGGGGTAGGGTTAAGAAATGAGTCACTCCAAAGAGCTTAGTCTGCATTGCTGGCTGCTGGCTGCTGTTGCTATGGAGTGCCTTCCTATCCCTGAACAAACTTGCTTCTCTTAAATGGCTATCATTACAAGTGTGCTTGGAACTACATGTTTGATTTTTTTTTTTTCCACAGCACAGAAGAGACTGTTGTTCTTACAAGACCATTCTCCAAACAACCAGACTCCCCCCAAACACTCCAGAGCACGCATATGTGCCCCTCCCCTCCCATAAAGGCCTTATTGAACCTGGTTCCTGTCAACTTAAACAGTCTTTGGACCCAGTAGTAGTGTGATAACTAATTTCTGGTTATAGTGGAATGGTAGCATCCCATCCTCTTGCAGTTCTAGTGTGGGAAGAGATTCTCAGTAATTATTATGACCTCTATCTTAGATTTGAATTAACAACCTAAACTTCCTTTGCTCTATCATATAGACATCTGCCTGTCTGAAATTTAATAAACTTTATAGAATCTCAGTCCAATTTTCCTTAAAAATTCCTTTAACTCTATCTGAGCTATGTCATTGTCTTCATTTTTTTTTTTATGATTTTGACTAAGCTTTTAGAAACATTAAAATAATCACTGATTGTCCTATCCATGCCAGGTGCTATGCTAGGGCATTGATAAGCAAGCAGATGTCAGGAATTGGCCTGGTCAGAAAGGCCTAGGCTATTGAGTTTCCTAAAGGTCAACTGTGCTTTTGATTCAGTGCAGTCCTCTTGACCTGGGGAGAAGCTCTGCTCAGCTGTGTGTTCTCCAAACTATGAAGATGACTATGCTCAAAAGCAGGGCTTAATTGGGCAGGTTGGCTAGAAAATCTGAAGGAGGAGAAAGTGCACATTGTGGGGACCACAAATGGGAGAGAAGGATTGTGATCAAAGACCAAGGGAGAGCAGGATTAATAGGACAACAGGAGATGATAGTTAGGAGCAGACAGCACAGCCTGGTGGCCGTCTATAGGATTTCAGCACTGAATGGGAAGATTGCAGGAGAGGGATAAGAGCAGAGATGGCTGAGCACTGTTGCTCTTGCAGAAGACCCGGATTTGGTTGCCAGCACTCAACATGGCACTTTACAGCTCTCCATAACTCCACATCCAGTGGACCCAGTGCCCTCTTCTGGCTTATGAGTAGCAGACACAGATACATACCTAACCCACTTACATATGCAAAAAATGAATGTTTTAATAAGGACAGCTAGCTGTTAACAGTCTTTAGATTCCAGATGAGTGGTCACATTAGTGAGAGTGAAACAGTAAAAGATGAAGTGTCAGGAGATGCTTGCTTGGCGGCCAGTTGTACACACTGTGTTGGTGATGCCTTCATGTGCAGTCTCCAGAGGAAGTATTGAGGATGATCCTTGCTTTCTGGATGGTTCTAGGTCTGAGGGTATGGAATTGACTTGAGACACAGGAAAGAATCAGACCTAGATGTGCAAAGTGGACTAAGTTGATTTGAAACATGGAAGGACTGAGGAAGTCACAGGTCAGAAGGAGCTGATGCAGTGTAGTGGTGAAGGCAGAGATCACCGAGACTGAGGAGCGGGGCAGACTGATGACTTTTAATCTAAACTTTTACAGTTTTTTTATTTTTAAATTTATTTTTATTTTATATGCGTTGTATTTTGCCTGTGTGTATGTCTGTGTTAGGGTGTCAGATCTTGGGATTACAGTTGTTAGCTGCCATGTGGATGCTGGGAAGTGAACTCAGGTCCTCTGGAAGAGCAGCCAGTGCTCTTAGCTGCTAAGCCATCCCTCCAGCCCACCCCAGTTTTCTTTTTTCCTTCCTTCCTTCCTTCCTTCCTTCCTTCCTTCCTTCCTACCTCCCTCCCTCCCTCCTTTCCTTCCTTCCTTTCTTTAAGACTGGTTTCCTGTTTAGTTTTCGAGTCTGTCCTGGAACTAGCACTGTAGACCAGGCTGGTCTCCAACTCCGAGATCCTCCTGCCTTTGCCTCCCCAGTGCTGGTATTAAAGGCGTGCACCACCCCTGTTGATCAGTTTTTGTATTCCTTAAACTGTGTACATGTGTATGTGAGTGTTGTGCTGCAGTGGGCAATAGAGGTGGTTGGATCTCCAGAAGCAGGAGTTACAGGTAGTTGATGAGGTGGGAACTGCACTCAGACTCTGGAAGGGCAGGAGCCATTTCTCCAGGCCCTTAACCTAAGCCCTTTCATCTAGTGGAGGACAGGTTAGTTACCAAGTGTATTGCTTCTCTTGCTGATGTGATAGAAATATACTGACAGCAATCTGCTCTGGCCCCCAGTTAGTGGGTACAGTCCATCATGGCAGGAAATGATGGGGCAGGAGGCAGAGTGAAGCATGCCAGTGCCTAGCTTCTCTATCTTCAGTCCAGAACCCACCCTGTGGAATAGTGCCTTCCCACTGTCCCAACCTAATCTAGGAATGCTCAGAGGCTAGTCTCTCAGTTGATCTTAGAGCTGTCAGTGTGGTTGAGAAATACGCCACCCATACCAAAGAGCAATCCGTTTTGTTACTGGACTGGCAGGATTGGCTCTGCTCCTGCAGTCAGCAGTTCTTGGACAGTTAGAATATGCCAGATCTGCAATAGGTGTCAAGTATCCCACACCAGACAGGCCAGTCACGGCTGCCTCTCTTGTGGAGTTTATGTTCTAGTTAGTGCAAGGGAGTAGTAATAAGCAAAGAGATACGTTCTGCAGATGCTATCTGCCAGTGAGTGACTGGGCGAGTTCTTTGATCTTGTGCCAGCAATCTTTTCCACAAGGTATACATAACAAAACTCACCCTCCTGGCCAAGCATTTTAAAGCCTACAGCTCAGGAGTGCTCAGTTTGTACACACTGCCACGAAGCCACCCTGCAGAAATGTTCTCCCTTACGAAGTCGGAATTAATTCCATTAAACAACTGCCCTCCCCTCTTTCCCAGAATCTGCCCCCGTCCCGGAAACCTGGGAATCCAGTGGGTGCTAGGCAAGTGCTGTGTTACTGAGGCACGTGCCCAGAGGAGGCATACAGCATTTGACTAATGAGGGATAAATATTAGGAATAGGGTCAGTCAACTGCATGGGATTTAAAAGCCCTGAGATGTGCGGGCAGCTGTGGGAGTAGTATCTAGTATGGTGATGCTAGCCTGTGATTGCTGCTCTCAGGAAGTCAAGGCAGGAGGATAACCTTGAGTTCGACCCCCCTGGGCTGCATACTGATTTCCATTGTAGCCTGAGCCATGTAGCTAGATTGTATCAAACACAAACGAAACAATGGTTGGAAGGCTGATAATTTCTGTAAAGATCTTTGCTTAGGTCTCATTGGCAATACTTACCAGGCCTCTTTATAACCTTTGGTCTCAAGATTTAGAGTCTCTGGTCAAAATCCCCACCGTCTGGACTTTGACTTTGTTGCTTAACCGTTTGAACCTTGTTAGACGTCAGACTTCGTATATCTTGTGGAAGCGGTTAAGCGTGTAAAGCAGGTGCCTATGTCCAGGAACCATCAGGACAGAATCGGGCTGCAGAGGCAGGCACACCAGCCCTGGCGAGATAGACGCCTCCAGGCACGCCCTTGAGTAACTCCGCCCTCAGGACCCTGCCCATGAGAAGGCCCACCTACAGGAAGCCCCGCCCACGAGCGTCTAGCTCGCCTAGCCGAGGAGCGTCTGCCTGCCTTGCCTGCTGGGCTGGTGCTTGATTAAACCGTGGACCCATGGGTGAGGACTGGGCTCTGGGCCCAGCGGTGGGTTCCTCCTTGCTTCTGTGCTCGGCTCTGCTGGCCGCGGGGTGCGCGCTGGGCCTGCGCCTGGGCCGCGGGCGGAGCGCGGTGGAGCGTGGCGTGCTCGCCTGGCTCTGCTATGATGCCCTGGTGCACTTCGTGCTGGTAAGCATTGCCCTGTTGCTGCGGACCGGGAGGAGGGCTGGGAACCTGAGGGCCGGATGTCCCGGGAGGCCTGAGGGCGCCAGCTCTGCCTAGGCTGATTCCCTGTACAGCCCTACTTCCCATGTGCTGCCTGGTCTTGTATCAAAGGTATCCCCACCTGAGTATTGCTAGAGGAATTTCTCCTCCTCTCCCTGCACCGCTCCCCTCATCTTGGCTTATCTTTTGTGGGTCAGAAATACTAGAAATCCATTTCTTGTAGCTTTCCTGATTTTGTAGAATATAGGTTTTTAAAGTATGTCCCCATGAATTTCTGAATTTCTCTGATGTCTGCTAAGGAATCTTCGTCATCTCTCGTTTTATTATTTTAAGTCTGCTGTCTTGGTTAGTTTGGCTAAAGGTTTATCAATCTTGTTAATCTTTTCAAAGGGTCAGCTTTATTAATTTTTGCCCTAGTTTTAATTATTTATTCCAATCTGCTGTTTTGAAGTTTGGTTTATTCCTGTTTTTTCAAACTCTTGAGATACACCATTAAGTTATTTATAATAACTTTTTTTTTTTTTTTTTTTAATGGAGGCACTAAGAACTTTAACTTTCCCTCTTAGGACTGCTTTTATTTCATACCACAAGCTTTGGTATTTTGTGTTTTCATTTTCATTTAATTCTGAGATCATTTTTTAAAATTTCCTTCTTGATTTATTCAACTACTCACTCATTGAGTAATCTGTTGTTTAATCTTTAGTGTGTGCATTTCTGATCTAATGTACTCAAGCTGCAACCAGAAAGCAGTGAGATTCTCTGTAAGGATATAACCTGACTAGCTCAGTTTCCCAAAGAGGTCTTGTTCCCCTCTGGCCTCTCACGAGCCAGGTTTCGACTCCATCTGTCTTTTCTCTCAATATTCTGGTCTTCCAAACCTTTGCCAGAATGGCCTGTTAAACTTTGCTTAGAGCATTCTAGGGCTTTTCTAGCCCAAGGTTGCAAACCGTTCACATTCTTCTTACACTTCAGTTCCAAAGCCCTAGTTCCACAGGGTCATGTTTACTAAGTCTCTGTATTACTTATGTTATTGCTGTAACGAAATCCTGAGGAGAGAAATTAAAGGAGGGGTTAGTTTTGACTCAGTGAGGGGCTGTGGTCCACTATGGCAGGAAGGTATATCTGCATTCATTCATCCGGCCCACAGCGAGGAAGTTCAGTCCATGGCCCCTGCTGACAGAAATTTACCATCCTGGTGTACAGTGGGTCTCTTCATAGATAATCCCTGACAGGGAATTGTTTTCATGGTGATTCTAGATCCCATCAAGTTGACAGTTAACAGTCAAGATTAACCATAATGTGGCCTTAAAATTCACCTAAAATGGTGAATCACTGTCTTCATTTCTTTAACGTGGGGCAGGGGCATGCCCCTGTCATGGCATTGCATATGGAGAGCAGCGAACAACTTGCAGTCTATTCTGTCCTTCCCACTATTGTGTTTTAGGGATCAAACTCAGGCCCTGAGGTTCGGCTGAAGGTCCTTTATCCTCGGAAGCCTTCTTGCTGGTCTTTCATCCCACTTTATAAGTAAGCAGTGGGACTGTCCATAGGTAGTTCTCCTGAAGTCTACTCTCTCCACAAGTAAAAATATAATCCTAAATACCTTTTTAAAAAAATAAAATCTGATCTACACTTCCGCTAATGTGATGCTAAAGTCCATAGTCTTGAAATAAAAAGAAACACCATGTTGGGCAACAGTTTAGGTCTATGAGTATTGCTAGTTAAAAGTGCAAATGCCAGGTGTTTGCAAAGATGAAATTCCTTCTTTCCCAATAATTTCCTAATATACATGTAGAGAGTAGAGCAAGGTTCTTTCCCTCAAATCCTTCGTTTAAAGAATTGACTTAAAGCCACACAGTCTCCCAAAGAACAAGGGTAATGAAACAGAAGGTACAGTGTGAGTATCTGTCACCCCAGGGCTTGGGAGGGAGGCAGGAAGATGAGAAATTCAAAGCCCTCTTTGGTTACACAGTAAATTCAAGGCTAACTTGGGTTACATGAGTTCCTGTTTCAAAAACAAACAAACAAGAAAACCAGGTCCCACTTAAGGAACATTTATAGCTATAACATTCCAGAAACATAAAAAGGTGTCAAGATTCTCAAAAAACGTATTTGTCTCTCACCACCCAGTTTATGTTAACTTTTCAAGTACAGATAGAGGTAGCATTGCACATGCCTCAGTCCCTGGTGCCTGGAGGTTCCCCCTGATCCAGATATGAAGAAATTGCCCCCCCCCCCCCCCCCGAGGATCCTGTCGTTGTCTGCCATGAAGAGCTCCTTTGGGATTACCCTGTCTTAGTTCTTCCCACATAAGGTATTATTTTCTCCATGTATGGAAGTGACCACTGACAAACACAAGCCACTTGGTGATAATTTAATCTCTCTGAAATTGAGGCATACCTTATAAAAGCTAATAAGCCCACATTAATGGACATTTGCATTTCCTTACTATGCTTTTGCTGGTGTCTTTGACGCCAACCTGAGATCAGTGGGAAGGACTCTTGAATTAGCAGTGAGGCCTATAAGGAATATACTCGCCTGGATTGGCTTTGGTTTGGTTAGCAATTTGCTCCAAGTGTATGTTGTTCTCTTTTAATCCCTTTCTGCCTTTTATGCTATGGCGGCAGTTCATCAACTGCAACTCAGCTGCTATCCGCAACAGTTAGGCCCCAAGAGCTGCAGCCTGAGGGAAATCTCCAACCGTTTCATAGCTATAAGGGGAACTTCTCTACATCTCTGTCCCTCTAAAGAACTCAGGATTCAAAGGCTGAAGTAGGATTCTGCTCCTCAGAGAAGCTGAATAGCAAGTTAAGTAGCTCACTTCCTCTCCTTCTTGAGTCTCCAGAAGCCCTCTGCTTCTCCTCAACCCTCCTTAGAAACCCTTCTCCATGGGCCGGAGAGATGGCTAAGCTGTTAAAAGCTAGGCTCACAACCAGAAATAAACCCTTCTCCATCTGGATCCTCACTACCACTTTCTGTCAGCTACTTGCTGACCCAACCTCCTGACTGCAGGGAATTTTATGTAATGAAACATCTCTGCAACATTAAACAAATGTTCCAGAGCATAAACAAAAGTAACACACCTTAGAATAATATTCTACAACAATTTCCCCTTTTTGTCTAAACAAAAAAATGAAAGGTTTTAACTTTAACTGTACACAGTAAGAACAATTATCAAGTAAAGATTACATTCATAATGTAATAGAGTCTAGTTCATTTGTGTCTGGCAATTTAAAAGAAAATACTCCGTTATTTATCCATCTTAATGATTCTAAAACTTTATACCCAATTAATCTCTTATCATAACTAATGAAAACTGCAACTATATGTTGTCTTCAACTCCATCAAAGGCACCAGAAGGATATAATATTATTTAAGTAAACAAAAATTTCATTCCAAGCAATTTCAGAAAACTCTAGAAATGATAGGGACATCTGATTGCCTGGACAGTCACCCAGAGTTCCTTTCCACTGTTGGGACATCTATCATCAGCCTACAGGCCCATAATATCTGGCAAACTTTTCAGTGAAGCAGAAATTTGAAAGATTGCCCTGCTTTATATTGGCAGTGTGTCAGTCACTTCCCCCTGTGTCCTTCAGAATGTCTGCAGTTTCTTCTGTGAAGCAGGGATGCTGAAGGACTATCCCATTGTGTTTTGTCAAAGTTCAGCAGTCACTTTCCTGTGGGTCTTGCATATCCATGTTATACAACATACTGTCAAGCAGCCCAGGTAAGAGCGGCTTCTTGCCCTAATGACTAGTGTCACACTGAAAGTAAACTCAAAGGAGTTTTCTCAGTGTCCATCATCTCTGAAGTTAATTGGTGCTGCCAGGAGCAGATGTGTCTCATTGTCATGAAAATCCCTAAATTAATAAAACGTTTTAAATGCCATATTCTGTAGGTCTTTGAAAGGTTTGAAGACCATCTACCTAAAATATATCTCTATATGATCTGGAAAACATACCTAGTATATCTACAAATTTGATTGTTATAGATGACTAACAACTGACCTGTGTTTCTTGGTTATCCTAAATAGTTCACAATGATAGCTTTCAAAAACTAGAATTTTTTTCTTACCTTTTTAAATGAACTTTGTAGGTACAATACCTTAAACAAGAATAGAATCATTTATACAATATGTCATAACAAAATAATCAAAAATTGGTATCAATATACAAAAATCCTTTAAACATGACTAGAAATATATATATAGTGTGTTGCAACAAAAATGACTTTAAGTTTGTACCTGTATACAAAGTCCATACCAATACAAAAATTTTGAGATTAATAGTTGTTTTCAGTTTAAAGTAGGTTAAATAATCTACTCTTTTAATCTTATCATTCCTATATTCTTATATTCCCCTAAATATAACAAACATCCATGGCCCACCAAATAACCAAAAGCCTCCCACAATCTAGCTCTGGGGAATGTGGATATTGTATTCTCTAGACTGCTTCCTATTGAATGTAAGTGAAGGCCTTTTTAGGGTCCCTGAGAAAATTTGAGCTAATGACCAAGTCCCAGGAAGACCAACGGTAACCTTTGTTGATGGATATCATCTGCCAAGTTTCAAGTGGTTTCTTTTGATCAGACCACCCTCTGATGTTCAGATAGGCTTTATTTGTACAAACAAGATACCAGCACAGTCTCCCTTGATCAGACCAGACCCATAGCAACCTGGAACAAATCCACAACCTCTCGTTTCCTATGGAAACAAAAGCAAAACCAGGTCTCTAAAGCAATGCATCTTTTAAGTTCCACTTTACAAATATATTTTTTGACTTCTGTTTTAAAGTTAAGGCATCCTGGTTTATTTCCTCAGTCCCTCTGTTAATTCCATGTCTCTTAGCAGCTTCCTGTGCTTTTCAGCAATGAAAGAATTCAAAATCAACACAATAAAACATACAGGATCCAGACTCCCTATGTATTTCCCATCTTTATGTGACTTTTTTCTTTCATATTA